CTTTACGGTGAGAGGTATCAACAAATTTCGAACGTATATTTATACAGTATGATGCGTGGAATCCATTGGCATCATCAGAAATTTTATACAGGGTGACGTTGAAAAGATACGGCAGCCAATTATGTTTTTTCTAACGGAACACCCCGTACATTTTGGCACAGTTGAATAGTCCCAGGCGTTCTCATTACAAATATATATATAATTCTACCTTTTCCTTCAACAATTTCAGATATATTCGCAAAAATATAGTCAGTGTGTCACATTTCTTATGGTTACACCCCCGTCTCTTCTGTAAAAATGATTGAGGTAGGATTTAAAAATTCGCAACTGTCAGAAAGAAACAAATGATACACTCATGGAGTCATGGACCAAGTGAGATCATCTCCAATGAGAACACTGCTCGCCAGCAGCTATGGAATCATCGATATTTCTGGATAATGCTATCAACAGGCAGAATCGAGGTTGAAAATGACACTCTGTATATATTCACCAAATGTGGAAAATAAATATCATAGGGAATATAATTCCCAGATAAATGGATATTTGGTGAGAAATAAAATGGGAAATTATTCGATTTGATATCATTGTTAACAAGACATTTGAGATACAGAAATAATACCAATAATTCACTCAATTAGGAAATCAGTCTGCTGCGTTGAAAAATATAGCCTTATAGAAGATGTCCAAATTCCAGATACAGAACAATTTTTTTCATGGAACACCCCGTATATTTTGGCAGAGCTGGAAAGTTCCCGTTTCAATTTCAAATATATATCTTATTTATTATCTCTTTGAACGCAAAAATATTAAGGCATACTAGAAATAATGGGTGGAGTATCATATTCAGGCATTCTGCCACAAAATATTAGGATTGTTAATGTTTCCATCAATTATTCTTACAGAAGATACGGGGGTGCAACCATAAGAAATGAGACACACTGAATATATTTTCGCGAATATATCTGAAATTGTGGAAGGAAAAGGTAGGTTTGATATATATTTGTAATGAGAACGCCTGGAACTATTCAACTGTGCCAAAATATACGGGGTGTTCCATTAGAAAAAACATAATTGTCTGCCGTATTTTCTCAACGTCACCCTGTATAAAATTTCTGATGATGCCAATGGATTCCACGCATCATACTGTATGAATATACGTTCGAAATTTTTTGATACCTCTCACCGTAAAGTAGTCAGAAAATAAAATCGAAATCGGCAAATTTTCAATTTCCCCCAGTATCTCTAAAACGAATAAAGATATCGAAATTTTGATTGTACCATTCGAGGTTTCTCCAAAATCGAACCCGGAACATGTATATCGGTTTTTTGATAACTCCTCTAGTTATTGAGATAGACGGTGAAAACGCCCAATTTTGCCCACCCTGTACTTCATCTGATGATATTAATTTTCTGATTTAAATGTACTTCGATTAATATGTGATGTTCAGTTGCAGATCCAAAAAGCAGTGTTTGATACTTGCCACTCAATCGGAGAAAATCACCCAGTCAAGACAAACCGAACAGAAGATCCGCAAAGAGACCTGACCACAGTATACTTTACAGAATTCAGATCATTATATTCGTACGGAAGGCGATATATTGATTACCTTTCCAGATTCTCAAGCAGACAGATAGACAGATATTCAGCTTTATGTCTCTATGGAAACACGACAGGTACCCTTACGAGGGGAGAGTATCAACTTGGCGTTCATAAACCCTCTCTGCAAAGGAGGTAGACGCATTGTGGGTTAGGTATATACAGTGTTCTTCATTGCAGAGAAAATTGTTGTTTATCTGCCTGCGTCGTCTTCATTGAGATAGTTGATGAATTGATGAATTACAAAAATATATCGCGTTCCAACGAATGTTGAAAACAATATCCAGACTTTTCATAGATTTATATTTTATGTAGGTCTCATGATTCAAATTTGAAATTGATACTTAGTTTCAGATTCGAGCAGCATATTGTTTGGCCTTCACGGTCCTCAATATAACCCACGTAATTGAAAATGTGAAAGATGCCTACTGGAAGAACCACTATTCGGAAAGAAAGCGGATATGAAGCAATCCAGTTACAAACGTTGAAAATATTAGTCAGGAATGTCTCAGATTCAACATACATGTACTTGCTTTTGGGTGTATGATAAATTGACATTCATCATACAGGGCGTGGAAATGAATTCTGAATTGAGACTCTATCACGAATCTGCGATTAGAGGTCTATAAAAATCACAAGTTTCCATCGTTCAAGTTTGAACCCCCAGTATTGCTTCATATAAATATATATCCATTTTTGTATGTTCATAATTTATCTGAGAATATTCCTTTTCAATACATGTACTTCATCTAATGATATTGTATTTCGATTAATATGTAGCAATCCAGTTACGGACGATGAAAATATCATTTTCAGGTATGTCTCAGATTCAACATCCATGAACTTCATCTGATGATATTAATTTTCTGATTTAAATGTACTTCGATTAATATGTGTTAAGTTGCAGATCCAAAAAGCAGTGTTTGGTACTTGCCACTCAATCGGAGAAAACCACCCAGTCAAGACGAACCGAACAGAAGATACGCAAAGAGACCTGACTACAGTATACTTTACAGAATTCAGATCATTATATTCGTACGGAAGGCAATATATTGATATCCTTTCCAGATTCTCAAGAAAACAGATAAGACAGATATTCAGCTTTATGTCTCTATGGAAACACGACAGGTACCCTTACGAGGGGAGAGTATCAACTCGGCGTTTATAAACCCTCTCTGCAAAGGAGGTAGGCGCATGGTGGGTAAGGTATATACAGTGTTCTTCATTGCAGAGAAAATTGTTGTTTATCTGCCTGTCTCGTCTTCATTGAGATAGTTGATGAATTGATGAATTACAAAAATATATCGCGTTCCAGTTACGAATGTTGAAAACAATATCCAATATTCTATGTAGGTCTCACGATTCAAATTTGAAATTGATCCTCAGTTTTAGATCCGAGCAGCACATCGTTTGGCCTTCAAGGTCCTTAATAAAACTCACGTACGTAATTGAAAATGTGGAAGATGACTACTGGAAAAAACACTATTCGGAAAGAAAGCGGATATGTAGCAATCCAGTTACGGACGTTGAATATATTATTCAGGTATGTCTCAGATACAACATCCATGTAATTCATCTAATGATATTCATTTGTTGTTGCAGATCAAAGAAGCAGTATTTGATACTTGCCACTCAATCGGAGAAAACCATCCAGTCCATACGAACCGAACAGAAGATTCACAAAGTGAACTGACCAGAGTATACTTATGGTGACTAGTTATGTTATATACTTGGTATATTAGGAATTAATAGTCTGACATTGATGTGACATTTTTATAATATAATTATAATTTGAATCAATTGTATCCACAATTTGTTGACCCCGACGTGATATTATGGAGCAGTTGAGCGAAGGCGAGATCATACAAATTTTAAACTTATAAGGACCAATTCCACGAAGCCGACTACAGGAGCATTCCTTCACAACATTCCAAGAAAAAGCAAGAATCAATTAAATCAATTAACCTACCAACTTTCTGGAAACATGAGCCTGCATTATGGTTTAATGTTGCTGAATCGATTTTTGAAACTCACGGAATAACTTCACAGAGAAATAGATTTGGGAAAGTGATTTCAATGTTGGACTGCAATATTGCGCTCTGGGTTGGTTTTGTAGGTCTCTCTGTATGTTTTTTTCCTAATATCCATTCGTCTCAAACACACTGTGTATTTTTTAAATATTCATCAATAAGATTTTCATCTGCCGCTGGTTTTTCTGCTCACCCAGTGATGAATTATAATATTCCATTTGGTACAAGATATTTGATCTGCCTCTGGAATTGAAGCTCGCTCTGTCTCTGTATTTCACGTATTACTTTTTATAAGCCTACTTTTCGTCCTAGAATTAGTCACTCCATAATTTTTTCTCCGAGTTGGATTTCCGAATATATATTTAGCACACATGACATAAGTACAGTAGTTCAGATACCCACATCAAGGTTTTCACCATTTCTCAATCATAAGGCTCAGCTCATTCAGCTCATAGTTAAACTACTGCTCAGCTTGAAATCAGAATTCATTCAGTCAATTCAGTCAACCCTGGTATACAGTCTAAGAACAGTCTCTTTTGGTGAAATATATTAAGCTTTTAGTACAAATTATATGTTCCCTACCTCGCAAAGATTATGCTGGAGTAGTCAATGAACTCAATATAGTTGTTTATATTGAGTTCATTGGGTGTAGTAAACTCTAAAACTAGAGAATTGTTCAACTATATCTTGGTATAGTTGAATTAGGAATTCCATATGGAAATTACGTATGATACGCCAATGACCTCAATATAACCTAAAAAACAACAAATGTCAAAAATCTAGTGTTGATCCCCAGAATTGAATAAGGATGGAACTATATAACAGTTTCACAAACACTTTAGAGTGAGAGGAGACAAAGATCTGTCCGCACCCTGTTAAGATGACTTTAACGTCAATTTCCATCAAGGCACTCTACTTTCCACCAGCACTTTTGGCACATATTATCCTTTGAGAGGTTAATATACTGTGCTTTCGGTAACGCCGCAGATGTAACATTGCGAGATTGCCAAATTGCCTTGTTATTGTTTCCTCTTGATTTGTTTGTGTTATTTCAAATTTTTGACTTCGTTGTGAGTGTATTGTATGTAAAAGGGTGGATCATCTGAATACAAATTTGACTTTTCTCCGGTAAGTAGGGTTATGTTATGGGATGTTGATTAGGCGCCAAACGTCGAACATGCATTGTTGCCAAACAGCCGCCGTGCAGGTGTCTCTCTCGCACTCGTTGCATACATCCAAGCAATCACAGATCAACTTTCAGAGCGTTTTATCAATGGAACATTTTGTCTCTTGTGTTTTTATGTCTTTGGACTTAACACAATGAATGATTTCGGTCACTGAGTAAGCTGCTCAGTATGCTTTTTTTTTCTTACCACAAGCATTGATTTTGGTTCTGGAAGCTCATTGCCTTCGTATATTTGCATGTACGATCTGCAATATTGTACGAAATCTCTCACTTTCACCTTGTCACCGTTGATTTTTTTCAGGACTAGGTTCTCTGGTCCCAAAAGCATGGGAACTAGTATCTTCAGATTATCCCTAAATTCCGGATCAATTTCTGTAAAAATGGAAGAAAAATAGATTTAATAACTCAGCTGATTTTTCATTCCAAATTGCAAAATATAGTTGAGTTGTTTCAATTAAAAATAATTCTCCAATATAACCAACCTATCTGGTCCAAAACTGATTTTCTTTCCAATTAAAATTGATTTGGAGTGCTGCCATTATAGATTAATGATGAAAGTACCGGCATATATTTGAATGAAAATTGAGGAGGGTGCCCTACAGTCTGCAGAAAGAGGAACAGTGATCGACTTCAATACTTGATTATCCAACACATATTATCTGTTATATTTAATGCTGTTCAAACTGGCTACATTAACTTTCATCATAGCCTATTGAAAATCTCATATGCCACCATTTTTTTTTCACATCTCCATAATGTTTTCAGGTAATGCAGAAAAGTACAGTCCTCTCATAAAATTTTTAAAGCCATATCAAAGGAGTTTCTCTTTTATTCATTTCATAGAATATTAATTTTAGATGAAAACATCTATGTTGGTAAATATTTCAAACGAATTTTTCATTATTCCTCTCTTTAAAAGATTGGGAAGATTGGGTCCTGTCTCTTCTGTATACAAAATGTCACTTACAAAACCCTACCACATATTTCTCGAACCAAAACATTTCAAGCAAACTTACCTCAGTACAAAATTTGCCCAGTTTGGGTACTAAAGACAGCTCTGAAGTTACAATTTTCAAATTTTTGCTTTATAGCATTGAAAGAGCGACATTTTTTTTCAGTAAATAAAAACTTATACGCCATTGAAAAAAGAAGGGGTTGAGAAGACAATTCGGATTGGGTTACTCAATCACTACAAAAGGGAGTAATAATTTGCATATTGAAAATAAAATATATCACTACAGATGTCCTCATCAATAAGGACGCCTAGCAGTAGGAGAATATAATATATTTATCTATTTATTTGTAGCCAGGTGCCGCGCGGACAAAGCGTCTGTATTCTAATCCGCGTTCGCTTGCCGGTCGTAGGTTCAATTCCCCGCGACTGCAGAAATTTTTCTGATGGCTCAAGAAAGTGTTTGGGATCACACGTTAAAAGGTAAGGCCGCCGTCATTCCTTGCTCGCACAAGTCTCTCGTAGACTTCTGAGGGTTGCTCTTGCTCGTAAGGGCAACCGAATGACGGATAGAACAATTAGAACAACAAAATAATTTTACCCAATTTTCACGAAAAATATCTTAAAAAATCGGAAATTCTTCATTTTCATTGAAAATAAATTACTTGCTGTGGATTGTTTGTCAAAAAATAAATAAAGCATAACATCAATTGAATTTTGGCTGTCCCATGATTTTGTCGCTTCAATTTTACCTCCTATTCACCCCAATAATCGAAAGAAAAATCGGAAATCGGTCATTCTAATTGAGTAAAATCATCTTGCCATGGATTTCTTCTTCTTTCAAAAAATACATAGGGCATAACATCGACTGAATTCTGTCCCTTGATTTTTTCGCATCAATTTTACCCCATTTTCACCCTAAAAATCAAAGAAAATCGGAAATCTGTCATTTTTATTGGGAAAAAATATCTTGCTAAAAAGATTTTAGTTTGTTCTTTTTCTAATGGTCAAAAATAAAAGAGTTACAGGGGGTAGTACTTTATAACGTGTGACTTTGTACTGAAGTAAGTTCGTTTGCATTTTCACCTGAGCAATATTGTGCATTATTTCATGACATATTTGTGTATTACATTTAGAAATAGTATGATACTCATCAATGGAATATGGTATCCTGTACAAGCTCTCTGTTTTGTGGATCTTATCATGTGAAATAACCATCCACATCCTCTCAAACTGTGTAGCTCTTCACAACGCAAAGGCGCTCTGTCTAGAATTCGGAGGTCTAGGAGCATATGAAAAAGGAAAACTACCTTCTTTGAAACCATCCCATATGTCCTCTCCGAGAAGAATAAGATTAGGTAGAACACATCACCCTTATCTACACATACATACATGTGAAATAACGAAACAAAAAAGTGGTAGGTATTTTTAGACACCTTCAAGCCCCCCCCCCCCGTACCTGCCAGCCGGCCGTCGAAGGTCGGACTCGTCGCCACCTTGATCCCCGGATGCGGCATCAGGAAGCACGCGATCTCCGTGAAGCACGAAGAAATGTGCCGTCGGAGCGATTGGAGCTCTGAGTGCTGGTGCTCGTCGACCTCCAGGCGCTTCTGCAGGATCTGCTGCCCGCCGACGGCGCCGTAGGGGGCCTCGTAGGGGAAGCGCCAGTCCCTAACGAGGAACTGCAGCCGCTGGAAGGGCGTTGTGCCAGAGTCGGCCAGGGCTAGGCGGCCGTATTCGGTGAACAGCTGAAGAGCGATATTATTCGTTTATATAAAATCCTTGATACACATAATAGACAAATTAATAAAGGACTGCAATAAGAATCGCAATATAACCATACCATACATAATCTTCATTTTTTTTTACCCCAGATAAACATTTTATTGTGTTGGCTTCTATAGATATCGTGCGTTAGCCATGAATGAGGATATATTTCAGACATCATTATCGAATACATTCCGAAGCTGATTGAGTGATCACCAATCAATTAGAAAAAAACTTTCTCTGGGGTAAAAAAATCACATATACCGGAAAAAAAATAAAAACGGGGTGTTCCATTTGAATTTAAATTTGTGGTTTGTCACGCTTTTGGGGATCACCCTGTAAAACTTCTGATAAGGGTTGTGGAAAGGCCTCATTGCGGGATTCCACTTCCGCATATCGTTTGTTTCGTCTCGACAAAAAATAACGGTCGGCCTTCTCGATGGATGACCCTGTACACGGTTTCTCTACAGGTTGTTCATCGAATCGTTACATATATGGGTATTAGGAAAGGATGGCGTTTGGCAACATTGCCAGCTCTGGTATAGCAGTTGTATCACTGTACGAGGCGGAAACTAGCGGATACGTAATGCTTTAACCGAATCAGTCTCTTGTGATGTTGGGATTCAAGATTCAAATGCCCTATATGTAACGATTCGATAAACAACCTGTGTAGGAAACTTATTCTTGCCAGGCGTGTATACCACATGAACCCACAATACATCAATTTCTATAATTACATAGTGCAATATGCAGATGACACTGTCCTGATTGCACACTGCAGAAACTTGAATGCAGTCATGGAAAACCCCCAACAATTAGCTGACAAAACAACAACATGATTCAATAAATGACGACCTTTGTGGCGACTGAGAACAAATCTATTTAGTGATATTTTTCACTCCCCATAATCTACATCCCCTACATTTACCTCATATGACAATAGACTTAGATCTGAAAATGCTACGTACATACTGGAAATGTGAAAAGAAGAACCATATCAGGAGCAAAACATTTCCAATTAATGTAAAAAAACATGGCATTGAAAATATACTATATGATTTGCAGACCACTGCTTGATTATGGACATATCCATAATCGGTTAGGGCTTATCATGGCGAATTCAACGATACGGGGTTTGATAGGGTTATTTCAAACGATCACAAAGATATTTGCATTCGACGTTTCCATACCCTCAATGGGTGTGACTTTGCAATATCAAAACTTCTTTCTCTGTCACACTCATTGAGCATATGGAAACTTAGAACGCGAATATCTGCGTAATCGTTTGAAATAACCCTATCAAACCCGGATGAATTCGTTATGACAATCCCTAACCAATTATAGAATACAATACAGGGTGTCCCATTTAAAAATCAAAAGTTGGGGTCATTTCCAGTAAAGCCGGAAGTGATAGAACAAAAATTGCTTAGTCAATTAATGGGCAATTTGGTATACTAGCCGCCCACCAATTTTCAAAACCTTATCTCGAATAATTCAAAAGTTACAATCCTGGCCTTTTTCTGTGCACTTCTCTATCCAATATTAGAGATCTTGAGAAATCTAGCTATAAAAAATCTCAAAATAGATGGCTCTTTGTATCATCAACTATGTCATAAGAATCTTGATATGTATAAAACCTGTTGTTCACTGTAGATATTGTTTACAATTCAGGATGTGCTGCAGATAGATGCGAACCTTTCAAAAGTGACAGGAGAAGTCATTAAAAACATATCAAGCCACACTATTCCCAGTATGTTTTTCAGTGTTACAGGGATGCATGAACCTGCAAAGCACCCTGTATAGATTGACAGTGAGGACCGACATAACCTACTATCTACACCACTAAATGAGTCATCTACCTGTCATGAGTCTTACTCACTCTTATTCATGTATTTTTATAGGTGACATAAGTCAAAGTCATAAATTAGACTGCCAATGCAATAATATGAAAGATCATCTATTTATGGGATTGAACTGGATCCTATTGAGCATGCGCATTTAATACCCATCATGAATTTAGCTGATAGCATATTTCTGTGCTTTGGATTTTCCTCTGTTCAATTCAAAAGAAATTTGCAGAAAGATTAAGAGGGGTGCACAATAATAAAACTAGCTCTGTACATGAAAAAAAAAAGGATATGATATAAGGGCAGATATACCCCTTTGTTCTGAAGAATAAAACATATTTGGCCACTTATAGTGATGTTTCATCTTCTTGTACTCTTTTATATTTTGTATGGATAGATTTAGGATATGGTATATGAAACATACCCAGAATTCAATGCAAAATTAGATAATGAAATACAAAATAAGTGTTTCCCTTAGAAGAAATGAAGTTGACAGTTATAACTTGGGCTACCCTGTATACATGAATTTACCATCTAAAATACCATGATCAAAAATATATATCAAGGGTTCTGAGTTATGGTAAAATTCAATTCCTGAATTTCAATAGAATAATGCAGACATTACTTCTGGGCAACACTGTACCTATATATCAATTCCAAATGATATCTTCATCCAAATTTGAATCAGTTCATAAATTTAGGCATGACTATGCACAATCTTATCATCAATATTCATATTATCATCAAGTAATCTGCAATTATTTGTGATTCATTCTAGAAACATGTTGTTTTGATAATTTTCAATATAAAAGGCATTCCATAATTTTCCATTATAAATTTCTTGATAAGTTCAAACCTGCAAATGCTGTAGATCATCTTCTTGTATATTACTTGATAAATTGTAGATTTGTACTGAACTCAACATTGTACTTAAAGCAAAAATTGTTGCACACTCTTTTACAGTACTTTTGCTATCCCATGTTCCTTGTGTATCAAACAATAGTACAGCAACCTGCAAAGAATAAATACAGATCAAATTTTATAGCAGATGAATGTGACAAACTGACCTTTTCTCCAGAGACAAGTTCAGTTGTAAATACTTGTGACCACATGAGAATTCCAGTGGTATCTCTTTCTGATCCTCCCTTCCAGGAAAATCCTTCAAGAGGGGCATCTTCTGATCCAACCCAATCTGATGTATTTTGTTTCAAGACATACTACACAAAGAGTAAGGATATCAATTATCAAGAATAATATATATTATGAAATTAATTGTAATACCTTTGCATTCATATATCTTAAAAAAAAGTCAAGTAAAAATGATTTTCCATGGCGAAATGCTCCAGCAACTGACACAACCACAACATATCTATCTTTGAGCTCATCACGCATAAGCACTTTTGTGATGGCTTCTTCATCTAACCTGAATGAATGATCATCATTTGCTACAACTATAGGTACAGCATGAGGTTTAGTCATAGTATCTTCACACTCAAGTTCATCTGAAAATTAAATTTGCATTTAATGGACATTATGCATTCTAAGGACTTGAAGCCTAACAAATGAAAAGGTTAATTAATGAAACACCAATAATTCATTCTAATTTGGAATTTGACCCATAGAAAATGCTGATGTGAGAATGAAATCTAGTATATTATGATAAGTTGTAACCTGCGTAATATTTGCCACCTTCGCAGTATTTCTTCTAATAAAGTGGAAACTCAAAATTGTATACAGATGATAAAGTTGGTCAATTATTATTAATTTAGTAGATGATTTTATAAAACTATGGAAATACCTTCTGTGGAGTGTTCTTTTTTCTGAAATTGTCTACGTTGCCTCACTTCGGACATTTTAAAATGAATCAATTCTTAATAATTTTTTCTTCTGAATCTAAACCCTTTTTCTTCTTGACAATGAAATTGAAAATACTAGTAATACTACTTTGACGTTTTGAATATTCTTATGTATGACATCGTCCTTGACACTATCGGTGACGTCTGACTTAACTCTGAAAATTGATTGACGTTTCCTCAGGTGTCATCATCCCATGTTCGATCTTTTCTATGTCCTATCATATATGAACTACGAACAAGGAACAAGATAATATCAACAAGATACAAGAGGTCAGGGGCGGAGAGTTTTGTTTTGCCCAATGGGTGCCAAAATGGAGGGGTTGGGGCAACCCAACAAAAAATGCGCCGCAGGCGAAAAATTTTTATGGTCCAAGGTCAAATGCCTTCAAATTTGAAGATAGCTTGATGCAATATTGATTCTGCATTACGTGTGAAACACTCCTACTAGAATATAATGTTTTTTGACTAATCGGGTTTCGGGTCTGTTGTTAATATCAACATAAACAAAGGTGAGAAATGAAGGAATAATTTTTTTCCAATTTTTATTGTAAAACATAAATAACTCAAAAGTTAACACATTATGTGAAAACGTAAAAACATGACTACAAAAATAAAATAAGATTTAAATCAGGTACCAATTCAGTATTACAAAAATGAAATGAAGGGACTTTGGGATTTGAAAAAATAAGGAAGTAACAGCAGTTAATTCATTCCGAAGGTATTCCTACGAACTGTGATATTTCCAATGAATTCATTAGCAACTGTATTTATGTCTAACTCATTCATTCGTTCTCTATAACAATGCAATATTGCCACATTGTTGAGTCGTTTTTGTGTCATTGTACTACGCAAGTAAGTTTTTAGTCTGCGTAGTGCTGAAAATGATCTTCCGGAAGAACAAGATGTGATGGGAATAGTGGCGATCAGCTTCAAATATTTATAAAATTCTGGAAGCATGTTTCTTAGATGTCGGATAAAGCGACTTCACAAATCTCATTGAGATTAGTTATTCGTACATTATTTTCTTTCATTACATCAAGAAACATGTTCCTATGTAAAACTAATCGGTCAATTGTGAAATCTGCTTTATACATTTCCACAACTTTCTGATTTTCCCCGCCTAAAGAGAATGACTCCATTTCAGCCAAATGATTATTTATCTCCTTATTGAATCGTCTCTCAATACCGATAATAACCGAATCCAATATTTCGAAATAAATTTTCCTGTAGTAGATCTGCGTGTTGTTGAACTGGTGTGGTTCGCTACCGCTGTCATATTTTCTAGGAGCTTTTCTTTGTCGAGGTAACTTGGTTTATCTAGATTCAACTTTCTTGCGTCAGCCTCAACTTCTCTCCACAGTTGATCATATTCACTATCATTCCTGATATTCTTCAAATGTGATACCTACTTGTCCACTTTGTCCAGCAATGTGCAATGGTTACAAGTGCCAAAAGCGCTCGTTTCTTATTCGATTTTTCCATAGGTACATCTTCGTTTCGGCCAATGGGTGCATTGCACCCATACCTATGGTCTACATGGGTGCATTGGCCCCGATTCCCCCATGCACTCGCCGCCCCTGCAAGAGGTGTTGAGAGCTTTGGTTCATTTGGTTGGCTTTGTAGAGGACATTGAAGAGAGGAAGAAGAAGGAGCATCGCCCTAGCTTCTCAGATTCTTCTCAGGAATCTCCATTGAACTCAATGTAGGTGTTTATATTGAGTATTGAGTTCATTGGGAATCTCAGGAATCAGGATCTCAGGCAAGGCACTAGCCGTTCCATATCTGAGGTAAAAGGTAAAGCAGTGTCGGTCGAGACTGTCGAGCGCGGTTAGTACTTGGATGGGTACGGATATGCCGTCCTTCGGAGGGGACGTTAAGCTGGCTGTCCCGAGGCCATAGATGTTGGACTCGTTGTTGTTGGACCCCTTGGTTGGACCCTACCTCTGATTGGAAGTGTTGGAAGTTGGAACACTAGAGGAGTCGGCAAAATTTCCGGTTGGGGGTAGTGTCCGACAAGATATGGTCAAAGAATAGTCCCTCTCCTCTTTGATATGGTACGGACTCTATGCCGTCCTTCATGGTTGGTGGTAGTGTGCTCATCGCTCATCGGCTCATCGGCGTCGCTGAGCTGATTAGCCTCGGTACCAGAAAAAGGCCGACGTTAAAGAAACAACAAGAAGAAGCGAAGAAGAAGGAATAAGAAGAAGAACCCTTTAGTGAGTCTAACCTAATACCGATTCTCGAAAGGGAAAAAGTTCATTTCATGGCTTTTCCCGCTTTTCAGAACAAAATTGTATTGAATGCTGTCTCAACATTATCAACAGTCTGGAAAGGGTGTGTTTTTCATTGTCTATAAAGAGATTGGAGATAGTTGAAATTTTGCCTTTAGGTTCGCGACAATGGCTACAAACGGGAAAAACCCTCGTATTATGAAGAAAATTGGAACTCATAATGGCGTTTTTCATTGTGATGAAGCTTTGGCATGCTTTATGTTGAAACAACTTCCAGAATATGCTGATGCAGACATCATAAGGACTCGAGATCAAAATGTATGGCACTAAAATTTTAGTGAGTTATTACTTATTTATATGGTTGTTCAGGTTTTAGATACATGTGATATTGTAGTAGATGTTGGAGGTAAATATGATCCCAAAACACATCACTATGATCATCACCAGAGGGGGTTTGAACATACACTTAGCAGCGTCCGTCCTGACTTGGCAAAGAACAAACTAATTAAGTGTGTACTTAATTCACTTTGTTGTGATTCTCTGAACTATCTCTTATTTTCCAGGTTGAGCTCAGCTGGTTTAGTATATGCACATTTTGGGATGGAAGTTATATCTGAAATACTGAATAAGCAAAGGTTGATAGCAAATACTGATTGTTTAAATTGCATTTATTTGTTCATTTATGAAGGGTTTGTTGAAGAGTTGGATGCTATTGATAATGGTGTACCAATGTATAGTGAAGGTAAACCAAAATATAGGATAAATACTCATCTAGGTGCTAGAGTTCATAGACTGAATCCTGAATGGAATTCACCTAGTCAAGTATCAACAAATGAACTATTTTATAAAGCCATGGATTTAGTTGGAACAGAATTCATAGAAAAGATTATGGATGTAAGTACTAAACTCATATTATGATTATTTCAAAATTCCCAATGAAAAATCTTTTCTATTATCATAGGCTGCTACTGTTTGGTGGCCTGCTAGAGAAATAGTGAAAAAATCCATTGAAAATAGAAAAAAAGTACATGAGTCAGGTCAGATAATGCTCTTAGAGGAAAGGTGTCCATGGAAGGATCATTTGTTGAGTTTGGAAAATGAATTGGAGATATCTGATGAAATAAAATTCTGTATATTCCATGATGAAGGTGGTTCTTGGAGAGTACAGGGTATTCCAGTTCAGCCAGACAGTTTCATATGTAGGCAAGTACACAAGACCTAATTCAAGTTAAAAAATGGTTTTTGTATGCACAGGAACAGGATATATTGTAACAATTCTGCATCAAGTTCAGGAAAAATCTAGGGCCTGGAATTGTCAATTTAACATTTTCAACACTGATATCAGTAAATTGTTGCAGAGTATTTTTACACAATGACTGGAGAGGTGTGAGGGACGATCAACTTAGCAAGATAGCTGGCATTGAGAATTGCATATTCTGTCATTCAACAGGTTTTATTGGTGGGAATAAAACTAAAGAGGGGGCTCTAGAAATGGCTCTCAAGAGTTTGTCAGCAACACTTTCTGATAAGGAGTGAAACTAAGTGAAAAACAATATAATGCAAACATTGTCAACAATTATTATTCTATTCAAATTTTGAAACAATTATAGATGGATTCTGCACTTGTTTCCATTAAATTATAATGATTCATACCACAATTCATGAAATTTTGATAATTTATCATTAATTTTATATATCCCTATTGTATTTTTTCATGATATAATTTGCATTAAGTATTCATGTTTTATTTTATATTCCTTTATATGCCTCATAAAATTCCGAGTTATAACTCGGAATTTTACATCCAAAATTCCGAGTTATAACACGGAATTTTAAAATTCCGAGATATAAGTCGGAATTTTGATGTAAAATTCCGAGTTATAACTCGGAATTTTAAAATTCCGAGTTATAAGTCGGAATTTTGAAGAGTTTTCATTTTTTTTATTTTATGTGTCCCTTCCAGGGCTTCGTATTGGAATTATTGATATTTGATATAATTTGTATTTGACAACTAGGACTAACATTATTTTGATCCTCAATTTAGAAAAGTTTCCAAATTGACATAGACCCCAACCCCCCAGTAGTTCCATTTGGTGAGATTGAAAATTCATGTTGCAAAATACAGAATAATGGATAGCATTGAGGTGATTAAAAATAAACAAATTATTCCATGACATTCATATATTAGAAAACAGTAACTAATATAAGGAAATTATGTTAAACTTATTTACAAATTCAGTATATTACAATCAAGTCCAACAATGTTACATAATGTAAAATTAAGCTATTCATCATAATCTTGAAATCACCAAGTATGATAATATTTTATGAGCCAAAAAGTTTGTATAATCTCCAAAACTGTAGAACATTCCTTATGTGTTATAACTATTTACAAAATATACTTTCAAAATGTACCCCCAAAAGTCAACAAAAGCAAACCTAAAGGCTTTTGACATAAATTAAATAAATAATCAGAAAGCATTAGATCTGGAGGCACAAACTTATAATAACTACTCCTGAAACGGAAGCATTATTATGAACATTTTTGCCTCCAAATATTAAGCTACATAACTGTATTCTTCACTAGAATGCGGCGTTCGTTCAATATACTGTTTATCAATCAATGATTCAATGCACTTCTTGATCAGCTGGATGCTAGGTGCAAATGATACCTTGGACTGTGCATATACCTTAAAAAATCACGAATTTGAATAGTCAATCATACGGATTTTTCTGAGATTTGGTATAGTTATACAGGGTGTTTGCTAAAAGGAGGTCAATCCCTTAACCATATATTCCTTGAACAAAAACAATATAAGTTTCTAAATACCATTTTTCATTTTAACCCTTCATATTCATAGTTTTTTTGTGAAAATTATTTTTATACATTCCCTCTGAGCACCAGGTATTTCCTCATTTACCTTTTCGTACGTAAAAAGTTACACACTCTTCCAATTTCGACGAAATAAATAGGAGTATGTGAAAATTATGAGATTACCGTAAGCCGCATAGGCATCAAACAATGACCAGTACTTTTCGAATTATCTTAAAAACAAATAATTTTATCGAAATTTTAAAAGACACAAAAACTACTCAAAAATGATTGAACACTTGAAGAAAAATAGATAGGAAGTCATTAGCGCACGTACAAAAAAAATATGAGTGTGTGTACTTGACCCCCAGTATTTTGAATATTTGACAGTTATTTTCTGTTTTGTTTTCTTCACATGATGTAACTCTTTGTACTGAAGTGATGTACCAATTTTGACATTAATATCTTATTAAATTCTCGAGTAATTAGAAAAAAAAACAGTTTTCAATTTCCAACTTTGACACCCTGTATATCGAATAAGAAGCGCTAAAATGAAAAATGGCATCTAGAAACTCATATTGTTTTTGTTCAAGGAATATATGGTTAATGGATTGACCTCCTTTTAGCGGACAACCTGTTTAAGCAACCATTTCGGATCTAATCACACAAAAAATGAATTTTTGATCAAAATGTGATGAGATTGAATTGATTAATTGATGTGACACAAAAATTAATTTCTCCAAAGATATAAGTGGAAAACAAAACAATAGTGAACATTTAACCGATTTTGTATCACGTCCCGTTTCCAAAATCCACATATGCTGTGCAACCTTATCTTGGTCACACTGTATAATCAGAACAAAACATAACATCATGATTCGTTTTCTATGCTTTGAAAAAATACAGTGCCCCGTTTCCAAAATCCCAAAATCCACATATGCTGTGCAACCTTATCTTGGTCACACTGTATAATCAGAACAAAACATAACATCATGATTCGTTTTCTATGCTTTGAAAATACAGTGCAAAAAATATTGTATATTTTTTACCTATGTTTCCACCCTTACCTCTTGAATTAGCAGGTTGTGTTTCAGAACTTTCCTTGATTTCATTATCCTAACAATGGCAGCCTGCAGATACATTTTTCTATCTTCTTCCACAGAATTGATGGTCTGTTCAACTTCATGAGGCATTTCTTTTTGGACAGCAGCCGTTATTCTGAATTTTGTTCTTTTATTTGAATAATCTAGGTTGAGTCTCAGTGATACTTCGGGTGTAAGCTCCTGAAACACAGTGGATATTTCAGTACACTCTTCTATTTGAAAACCAATCAGAATCGACCATTCTCATTCTCACACGGCGCACGACTTGTGGGCGTGGTCTTGTCAGTTCTCAGCATTCAGCACAATGTTGCCAAGTCTCTAACATTCACATGATATTTTGTTATGGAGGATAAGAAATATTTGGATATGCTTGTTGCTCAAAAAAGTCAAGAATGAAATCTAATATCATGGGTTCCTCCTATTATGTTTTATTCAACGACAGGAGTAATCTTTTTGATAACTTGATTACTGACTTGACAACCTTGCTTCATGAGTGGAAACAGCATAAAAACTGACGTCATTTATTAGACGTATCGCCAAATGGCGGCCATGAAGGTTCGTTTGAAATGAGCTCTGAAATTCAACAATTTCAAACAACGCATACTCATTGTTTACATAAAAAAAGTGTTGCAAAAATTGATTAGGTTCCTAACGATACAGTGGAGTAATTGAACGCCAATAATTCATTATCAGTCCAATCGCCCATTTTTTTATAATTAGAACTCTAGCTTGCTGCTTAATTTCATTTTTGACATTGATTCAGAACATTCAAAACACCTTCCCTATGTCTCGACAGTCTGTTTAGATTAATAACAATGCCAATAAAAAAATTAGTAGGCTACAAAGCGAATATTTCCTGCAAAATAGTAACACTTGTGGCTTGTGGTATCACATAACATGATGAAAAAAAAAAACTGATTCAGAATATAAATATGAATTGTTTACCTCTGAATCTGCTAACAATAATTTAGAATCGATGAGACTAACAGTATGCCTATGGAACTGCTCGTGGTTCAGTTGAAGGGTCTCCCTGATTTCTTTGCAAGTCAAAGAATTCGTATTCTCAAAGAGCAGTAGTATGGCCATCTGAAAGGTTTGAACGGTGACAACGTAAGGTTTCTTGAGGTATCCTAATTTGAGCTCGGCCTGGCACAAATGATGTAACCACGTCAGTTTCCTTCCGTTAAACTTCTGATGATAAAACTGTTCAAACTAGAATATAAAGGAAAAATGTTTCAACTGAATCGGCCGTTACTTGATGGAAATCAAAAATGTTCATGTCCAAATCTTGAAGACAACAATACATCTACATCTAGAATACTTCCAAATATCTCTCATTTGACCTACAAAAATATGGCTAATAACAACTCTGAATCTTCGACGTTCTTTTTGTAATAGTAGGCTGATGAATGTAGATTGATAACATGTTTGCTAGATAAGGAAGATTTCTAGCAGAACAGGTGATAACTATGGAATCCACGACCAAGGTTTCAACAGTTAACACCTTGGAAACCTACGAATACATCGAAAATTTGAAGATAAACTCTAAACGGGATGTTGTTTTCTATGAAAGTTGCTCTCTAAACCTTAATTTTTCATTGCTATTCAGAGATTTTAAAAAACTGTTGAAACCAAGTTATGCAAGAAAACATTTCTTTACACCCCCATCTGTATATGCGATGAGAAATCAAAGTTTGAGAGCGTTGTTGCTAAATTTTGTTATGAAATTTTCAATTCGCAATAGAAAATAAGCGTACGCCAGCTGGCGGCGTTTTCTAACCCTGTCAAAGCGGAATGTTTACTATGTTTACATTTGGTTTTTGGTTGTGCGTATTGGTCAGTCACATCCATCAAAACAAACCGTTCAAGATATTGTCGTCAGGTTGAGCGACGTGATAAATTCAAGTCAATCACCCTGTATAGCTTGAAGAAAAAAATAATAATCACCCGAGATGAAGAAACACAGGAGTGTATGAAGCTATTTCAACACTGAAATTAGGTTTGCCGATCAAAAAATTGACGGCGATAATCGGATCCACGCACAACTTCTACAAGTGAGAGAGGAGGGAACATAATTCTCACATTCTTGGGGCGATGAATAAAATGACACGATAAATCACAAGAAAAAAATTTTGCGCTCCCACCATACTACATCCTACATCTCAATATCTTCCAAAATTTTTTTGTTGACAAAAATATATTATTTCATTTTGTATTTTCTTCAAATAACTCACCAACTCCCTTGGACGCAATTTTGACCCACTTTAAACGGACCGACTGATTTGAAATTTGGCAGGTGTACAGGGTATCCCAATTTGGGCACTTTTGCGGGGTATCTCCCTTATCAGTAAAGATAGAGCATTGCGGTTTTCGCGACAGTGTGCTACTTTTTTATGAAATGAATAATGGCGCAAGCAGAATTGTGATAGCTCTTCCGGTTGTCGAGATATAGGGTGGAATTGAAAAATATCACTTTTCAGGCACCCTCCGTGTCTCAGTTATCTTTGAACTTATCGAAGAAGTTAAAACTTGTTTTTATAGAGTTTTTCTCGTAGAATCCAGTGGCGTAGTTATTTTTTTGCTAGCACCTTTTGTTTTTTAGTTATGGAGCAAACATATGTTTTTTTAAATGGAACACCCTGTATATTATTTCATATATACATTGAGCATGAAGTGGGCTTTCCAAAAATATATAATTGTATACAATTATTTTCCATTTAAAAAAACATATGTTTGCTCCATAACTAAAAAACAAAAGGTGCAAGCAAAAAAATAACTACGCCACTGGATTCTACGAGAAAAACTCTATAAAAACAAGTTGTAACTTTTTCGATAAGTTCAGAGATAACTGGAAAGTGATATTTTTCATTTCCATCCTGTATCTCGACAACCGGAAGAGCTATCACAATTCTGCTTGCGCCATTATTAATTTCATAAAAAAGTAGCACACTGTCGCGAAAACCGCAATGCTCTATCTTTACTGATAAGGGAGATACCCCGCAAAAGTACCCAAATTGGGATACCCTGTACATGGTTCGGGTGGCAATGCATCATGAAATTTTTGTAAGACAAAAAAACAAAATGGCGAACGAGTTTTGTAATACTTATGATCCGATTCTTTTCAAAATTGGTATCTGGGTGTTTTCAGGGTCGAAGATTATGATTCTTTCGTCAAAATTGGTGAATTCGAGATGGCGGATCCAATATGGCGGACGACTTTAGTTCATTATGATCCCAATCAAGTAGGTATTTACTTTTGAATCATAATGTACCGCAGGATTCCATTGACTTCTGCTGCAGTTTTTTTGTGCATTGTACAACAGCACAATGTGATGGCATGAGCGAATTAATGCATAGTTGTGGAAATAATTGTGAAAAACTATTTCAATCACTTGTAAACAAAAAAGAAAAGTGAGGTTGTTTTTCAACATTGTTCCTCCAGGGTCGGTCATCTGGCAGTTCTTGCAGGAGTTGCAGGCAACCCATAAAGATTGTTTCTCCCTCTCCCTCCCTCCCTCTTTCCCTCCCTCTCTCTCTCTCCCTCTTTCCCTTCCTCTCTCTCTCCCTCCCTCCCTCTCTCTCAGTCTTCAGAAAACTGTTGCATTTTTTGCCACTCACCATATATAGACAAATCAGCCATATTTTACTGTTTTGCTAGCGCCGCCTGCGAACCAGCCAAGAACAAAGGCCAAATTCGGCTCAACGGTGGATCATATTGTCAAGTCCCCCATTGAGTAGTTATGTCAGTGGTCTAAACAAACTCACCTTTTTTGCAAAATAATAACATAAAGGAAACGTGATGCACATCCGTCAGAAGAGATAGATCTCCGAGCTACCCCCTCTCCCTCTCTATGTCTCTCTCTCTTTCTCTCTCTCTCTAGTTAATCCGAAAATTGACTAGTGATCATTTGAATTTTGAACTCACCTCTTGAACGCTTTTCTCGAGTTGCTGGGGTAATGCAAAAGGAGTGACTACAGCTTGACCTAGTGGCCAAGCCCCAGCTTGTAACACATATATGCTGAAATTGATGCCCAAATCGCTGTTATTCTGTTTCAGAACAGAACTGAACTTGATATTCAGATCAGTACTAACTGACATATCTGTGAACATCCTGTGTAGTTTGCTGGTAAATTCATAGCCACAAGCCTAAAATACAGTGTCATATTCACACATTGAACATTTTATGGCCAGGAAGAAAAAGATAATCATCAGATGGAAAAATCATGGCTACACTATTCTCAAGGAAATAAAAATTGGTTGGGCCGTATGAAAAAATCCCTAATTGACTATAATGAATCAAACTATGTATTTGAATAATGAGCATCCCGCCATGCCTAATTCCCACGATGCCCAATTCCTAAGATGCTCACCTTCATGTCGACGATTACGAAGTTTGCCGAAGTGCGCAACGTTGCCAGGACAAGAGAAAAAATCAGAAAACACAAGATTCCCACCATGCCCACTTTTCATAGATTCCCACGATGCCCAATTCCCACCATGCCCACCTTTCTTGGATTCCCACCATGACCACTTTTCATACATGCCACGATGCCCAATTCCCGCCATGCCCACCTTCCTTGGATTCACACAATGCCCACCTTCTTTATATTCCGTTTTATTCCCACCATGATGAAGGTGGGCATGGTAGGATATGGGCATCGTAGGAATGTATGAAAAGCGGGCATGGTGGGAATTGGGAATCGTGGAATTCTATGAAAAGAGGGCATGGTGGGAATTGGGCATGGTGGTGGTGTTTTCTGAATTTTTCTCGTAACCTGGCAACGTTGCGCTCTTCAGCAATCTTCGTAAACCTTGACATGACACATTTTAGTGATATTTAATTTCAATTGGTAACAAAGTTATGACATCTTTGATTTAAAAAGGAAGGAAGGAGTGCTCAAAATCATCTCCAAACATTTTAATTACGATCAGGAACTTGTTTCGATCTTAGAAAAGACCATCTTCAGCCTAATAAAAATTCTATAATACAATAAAAATGTCATTACCTCATACCAATATCATTTGTACTGTAAAATTTTCATTAGGGTGAAGATGGTATTTTCTTAGACTGAAACATGCCCCTGATCATGTTATGTCATTAAAATTTGTGAAGATGACTTCCTTCATTTGAAAATTCCACTTCTCTTTGAGCAATATGGACTTCTATCAAAGATCATTAATTTACATAACATACCATTTTTTACGAATATATCATGCAAATTCTGAGAAGTGCCAACATTGTCAACACAAATGTTAGAAATCATTGAGGTTTCTAGTAGACATTCGAATTCATAACACAATTACTATCATGTTATAATATCTACAATGGTATTTATGGAAGAGATTCATCACTTCATTCCAAAAGGATACCACTGGAGAATAATTTGTGTTATGAATTCAAATGTATCTACCAGAAACTTCAATGATATTCAACATTTGTGTTGACAATGTTGCCGCTTCTCAGAATTTGTCTAAAATATTCATGAGAAACAGTATGTTATGAAAATTAATGCTGGTATTATACTTTGTTGCCAATCAAAATTTTGCAATCCAGTGGAGGAGTCGAATTTTCTTGAGAAAAATCGCTAATGATATTTAGATATTTAGCAATTTTCAACATAGTATGCCCTGGAAATTGGAATTATATTTTGATAATTTGTATAAGAAACTTAGACCTTCTGATACTCTTTCTGTGCAATGAAAAAATATAGTATAGGTTGAAACCTGTAGATTTTATAAGAGTGATCTGATCTTGAATGGATCACACTGTATAGATAATATGATATCAGTGATTCATCATTTTTTTAATGAGAATAAGTTATAATTATTATGAAATTAACAACATTAAAAATGAGTAAGTGAAACTAGAATCACTGTACAAAAATGGTAAAAAATATGACTGAACATTGATTCACCTGCTTAAGCCTGTTGATCATTGCTTCTTCTGCATCCATACTTTGAGTCTGTTGGTGTATCAGTCTCTTTGCTAACATTCGAGAGTAGAATTTCTGGAAAATGTCTTTGTCATCTATGTATTTGAAAATAATTATGCTCTCTGAGAGTTTTTCTTCCACCTAGAAACAGTAAAGTAGTTTAAAACAAAACACTGGCAAAAATAATAACCTCAGTTTTCCTACCTCAGATTCACTAATTCCTTTACTTGATTTCTTAAGCAGAGTATCACAATATTTTGCTAGTAGTTCAGGGCTCCTACATGGTGACCTACCCTGGTTAGGCCTATGATTTATTACTAAGCTGCAGGCCTTATCAAGAGCACCCATAAAATTCTGGTCAGACTTGAAAACATCTTGAATCAATTGTTTGTACTTTTTGTACACTGCCAGTAAGTTCTCTACAAAGTTTATATGGATGTTTTCTCCTTGTAAATCGCCTATAGCCTATGAACAATAACAATATAAGTTCCATTGAAAACTAATAAACAAGACCTTATCATCATATTTCAGATTATGTTACATAGAAGGAAATTATTTTAGATGTCATTATTATACAAAAAGAATACTCACAGCTAGGCCTTGTGTTTTGATATGATCAAGAACTGTACCAACCAAAACTACCATAGCATTCTGAACACTCTTGAGTAGATCATACATGTTTGACAGATCTTTTCTTTGTTCTCCTTGCACCATATTCATACATTCACTATATAGAAATTGTAAATGCTCAGCTACCATGTGTGTTTCACATCTATTTGAAACCTATAAATACAAATGAGGAATGACTATCAAATCAAACAAAAATAATTTCTTACTTTTGGTAGTGAACTGTAATGCAAGAATCGTCTAGCTCTAAATAATTCCTCCTCAATCTTTCCTTTGACTCTTTCCATGTATAAACTGACATCCTTTTCTTGTAGGAGCCTTGCAGCATCTCTTTTGAAATGCTCTCCACTAGCATCAAGAAATGGCTCCTCAAAGAGTTCTTGATATAATTGAAGATGACCTTTTTTTTTGTATCCTTGAACCTACAATAATAAAAAAAGTATAATCAAATGGAATTTATGGAACTCTTCAGATGTCACCTACTAACTCACCTCTACAAAACTTAGGATTGTGCCCCTCACAGCCTCAATAGGTATACTTAATGGCTGTTGTGCCCTGTCCTGATCAATTGTTTCCAAAAGTAATTTTACTAATCTCTGCCCCAATGGTGCTATCATACCACTTTGCCAAACTTCTAATGCTAGTTCTCCAATTTCCATTTGTTCACCTAAAAAAATATATGATCATCCCAAGTCCTAATCCTGCAGGAAATTCAGGATTCATACATACCACCACTAGAATCTGGGCTTCCATATATAATTTCAGCATCAGACAATTTCTGAGTTTTGATATGCTGCTGATTCAAGTAAAGATATAAACTATGCAGATATCTACTACCCACAGAATATTGAGACCAATAAAGAAAATAGTTTTTCACCAAATTTTGTTCCCCTTCTTCTAATACCTTATCTAATAATTTAGCAACATGATCTATTAGATACTGTTTAGTTTCAGCATACAACCTATCAGCCATTGGTTCTGGATGTGCCACACAGAGTGAATAAACATCTCTATTAAAACAAAACATTATTAAAAAAGAGTATGCTCCATTGAGCTTCTTTCATGAGTAATAAAAGGGGAATGTCTCAATAATAAAAGTTACTTACGAGAATCTATCATTCCAAACAGGTCTTGCCACATGGTCCAGGGTGATAACTCCTTTGATGGTGTCTCGAATGGCACCCCAAGTGGCGTTGAAATCTACTCTCCTTGGTTTTAAGGACATAACTTATTTTTTTGCAGTCAGTCACAGTGACAAAGCAGAAATAAAAAACTGTGAAAGTAAACAAGACACAGTTTGAAATACTTTTCGGCGCAAATCAGATCTAGGAAAAAATCACAATTGACAGGTCTAATTAAAAACTACAAAGAAAATTATTAATATAATGGTGTGCTTTTACCTTGATTTTTCACAAGCCTTTCCTTGGTACCTGCATACAATAATAAATAATAATTTCAAAGTGGAAAATATTCCATACCTTATTTTTTTATGTACTAATTCAAATTAATAAAAATTCCATTGGCTGAATTTCGAAATGTATTGAAAGAAAATAAAAACTGAAGAAACCATGAATTGGAACACATTTATTATTTTTATTTCATGTCAAAATTTCACAAAAAATATTTTTTTTACATGGTTTCGGACAAAACACCTGTCACTGTCACTTTGTCACTCACTTCAAAACACGATTTAACTTAACTTTCACCTCGTGCTCCTACCGTAACCTGCACCCCTGCACCGTAGCCTTGCACCGTAGCGTTGTCCAGCCGATCCAATAGAAACCAATGGAATTGTTACCACTAGGCAGTATGTCATTTGACAAGAGTTAGGCAAGAGGCGATAAAGAAGAAGAGAGGTATAGGTTATGTTGTTTTGCTTTGTTGATGTGTTTTTGTTTTTAATTTTTCAAATTCAAAGCCGAAAAGAAAGCATTGTGGTTGTTGACGTTGTTGTAGTTGATTATTAAAAAAGTGTTCTACAACCCAATAATGAAAAATAGCAGTTTTTTCACAAGTAAGACAATGTCATGATTGCTGTAAATATGCAAAGTGGATTCATGCAACATCACTTTGATACGGCAATTATAGTTATAATAGTTATTCATGGTATCGATGTATCGAAGTGCTTCCTTCCATTTCATAAAGATGTTCAGGAAATAATTATGTTTCTTTTAAGAACTGGAAACCTCAGGTATAAGGAAAGTTGCATGAATCCAGTGAATTCATATTTTATTCACCAACAATCCCTTATAATTATAATGTTGATTCAGTTTTATTGAAATCAGCAGTGAAGAACTTCTAATCGTGAATTCTGATAGAAAAAATTATTGGGACAGTTGTCCCAAGTTAGAATTATTTGCGTATTTTATTTATTTTTTCTAATATATGGAAAAACAAGTTACATTACGGCAACAGTCTTTTTTTTGCTGTGGTGCAATGTGGGAGGACCAACAAAAAGTAACAATTTTCTCCCAATATAGAGTGATATCCCAAGTATGGGCAATCAACTGTAATCTATGTTTCACAAAAGTACTATTAATAATGTATATTTCTTAGACACCTAGAAATTATTTTTTGTGATTGATATAAATAGATGAATTGTGTTGTTTTTGTGTAACCAATTGAATTTTATTCATGGATATTTATTATAATTACTTCCTCCCAGAAGGATGTCAGCGCATTGGTATTGTTTTTTGTTTTTCATAAGTATGATAATGATTGGTATAATCAATGTATGTATAATACATTTTAATGATTTGTTTTGATGAGAATTCGCTTTGATTTTATTTTTTCTACAAACGTCAAAAATGACAACGTTCGCGCATTGATAACAAATTGCGAAGTGACACGTTTTTTCAGTTTCCTACGTTATCGTGATACCTTGCACAAAACAATGCGCGAAGTAAAACAGTGCGCGAAGTACCTACTTCGCGCATTGTTATGTAAAATATATGAAATATTTATATTTCAACCTTATGGTCCTCAATCGAGCAAACATCCACGAAATCATTCTTTTTTTAATGTTCGACAATAACTTTGTTTTATCTCTTGGAGCGCACGAAAGGAAATTCCTATTATGTTCGTGGAACATCGTGCGTACCTTGGGAGGATAGAGGGAGGCCTTTTAAGCCAGTTCAACACTATTTTTTATATCAAGCCAAGCATATTTCTACTTTAGAACTATATTTTTTGACGTCTGTAGAAAAAATGTTGTTTGCAACTCGAGCACGAAATACTTTGGTCATCTCGACTATTTTTCCAACTCGGCTACGCCTCGTTGAAAAAATCAGATCTCGATCACCAAAGTAGCGTTTCGCGCTCTAGATACAAAAATCGAGACAAAAATAACTATAATGCTTTTTTTATTATTTCTGTCACATTGGTTTGATCCACTTTTCATTTATATGAATATTTTAATTGAATGAAAATGTGATCAATCTCATTATTCTTGTATGAAGACACATTTTTCACATCAGAGGCATTTGATGACCTTCAATAAAAAATGTGTATCCTACCGTTTTCTTCTGACCACAACTCATACAAAATATTAATCAAATATTTCATTATGACTGGACTCTATTGATAGAAAACAATGAAATAAGTACTACAAACGGTACTCGAAACGGTATTTATGATGATTGAAGAATTTGAGTAGTAGGCTAAAGCAGAAGGAGCCTAAAAATTACCTTAAATTGTGGTATGTTTATCTAAATGGATTCCGTGCTTAATTTTTTATCCAAAGATAGGTTTGGTTCTGATAGTTTAAAGGTTAAACCAGAAGTGAAGTAATTGGCTAAGATGGAAGCCTCGAAATAGCCTTAAATTATGTTGTAATCAGTTATCTTATTTAACCTGTTCTCGAAGTGGCTCGAGTGCTAGCTATCGTTACCGTCGAAACTACACGACGGTAACGTAGCTATACCGCACTTCCTTGCATAAATAAAAGAACAATAAATTCGTCAATTATTAGTCGAATGATGGTTGAAGAAAACGCGAGGGGTAAATCACGGCGAAAAAAAATTGTACATCAAACTTCCCATAGGTCAAAACTTCCCAAACTCTCTCGAACTTCCTCAAACTTCCTCGAACTTCCTCAAACTTCCCGGAATTTCCTCAAACTTCCCCGAAATACACCCCAATTTTTTTGTGCATTCAATTTTCCATTCTCGAGTACAAAATGTGCGAACAGATAGATTTCTGCGTATAATAGTTCTGTTGTATTTTTTCAATGCGTTACAACGCTTTCGAATTGAACCGGATTAACAATTTATGAGAAATCAGATTTTGAACTACAAATTGAGAAAGAAGTGCACAAATAAAAATTGGGGTGATTTTTTCCTTCACCACCCCCAGATTCAGCCGCCACTGAATTACATTATGAAATAATCTTTATTTCATCTTATAGAGCGTAAAAAGTTTAGTATCTGTGGAATATTTTGTTGATTTATCTCAAACAGTTTCGGACATCAAAAAACAATATTCAGACTCGTATTTTCAACACCCAATAAGTATTGTTGACTCATCTTACAGCATCTGTTGAGAATTTCGAAGACCACAATAATGAACTCTTTGAATTTATGTGAAATATTATTTCTATACAGGGTGTTTTAGAGTTGTGGTGACAAGAGCCTCGACAGCCTTGAGCAATATTGAGAAACCGTGAAAAACTCATTATTTTTCAAACTGGGACACCCTGTATCTCGGAAACGAAGCATTTCCGGAGCCATGTTCATATATTGTTGAGAGGAATCTCCCCTAGGCTTTTGTTACCACAGCTCTAAAACACCCTGTATATCCTGAGATAATAAGTTTCCTGGGTCAACTAGCCAAGGATTTTTCCCGACCGGCTCCGCCCAAACGTTCACAGACATCCTCCAGCTTGCTTGGACTTTCGGAAACTTCCCAAACATCCTCGAACCTCCAAAACTACCTAAAAATCACGAAATGTTTCAGACTCCACCAAACTTTCCAAACTTCCCCAAATCTCCCGAACTTCCTCGAACTTCCCAAACTTCCTCGAACTTCCCAAAACTTTCTCAAACTTCCCAAACTTCCTCGAACTTTCCCAAACTCCCTCGAACTTCCCAAACTTTGATTGATTGATTTATTCAAAATTTGTTCCTTTCCCTATGGTAGGTAGGTATAGGTAGATAGGTTCAGTCGAATGCAAAAAAAATAATTATCGCGGTTGGATGGTGTTAGCGCCCTTATTGCAGAGGTGCCATCACCGCCCATGTTCGAAATGTTCATTGCATCTGACTGTACGTATATGTATAGACAGGTATAGGTGAGTATACCTTAACTTAAAAGTACTTTCCTGGAAGGGATTTGAAACTGAATGACATGAATATCTGCACTGTAATTCAATTGTTAACTATACTTCCTTATACCAGAACTTGATTCTGACTGGAAGTAACATTTTCAATAAATAAATAAATAAATAAATAAATTAGACTTACAGGTTTGAATAATCCACCAACAGAAATCAACCCTATTATAACTATTTAATTAACCTATGCAATGCAATTTTTCAGTACCACGAATTTTCAGGTAGGTAGGTATTATTGAGTTATCTAACAGCATCTGTTTGCTGAAATGAAAACTTCCTCAAATATCCCAAACTTCTTCGAAACTTCCCAAACTTCCTCGGACTTCCCATACTTCCTCGAACTTCCCAAACTTCCTCGAACTTCCCAAACTTCCTTGAACTTCCCAAACTACTTCGAACTTCCCAAACTTCCTCGAACTTGCCAAACTTCCTCGAACTTCCCCCAAACTTCCACGAACTTCCTCGTGTCTGTACACCAAACTTCCCACGTGATTTACCCTCGAGAAAACGTTCAAAATTCCAAAGTATTTCTGCAGCTTATTGGAGGTGGCTGTGAAGCAACCCCAGAGAGAGTTTTTTTATAATTTATTTGTGTTTTCTCTTACCGTCGCATTGGCAATTTCAGATGATGATCATAGTTATTGATTTATCAAGGGCGTGGAGTTAGCCCGAAATACAAAATTGTATGCACGACTGTTTATTTACGGTCAATTCGGAATTTATTATCGATTTTGAATTCATTTGGCCAAATTAAGTATGCCACTAGCAAAGAAAGATCAAATGAAAAATAGTGAAATTACTTTACCTCCCGATCACCTACTTTACCGCCTGCCGGACTACTTTACCGCCTGCTGTGCTCCTTTACCGCTCTAGGGTGCTGAAGTGATACTTTACGCTCGCGAATCCGGGCGATAAAGTGCCACTTTACGCTCGGTCGCACATAAAATATATTTTTTAACAGGTAGGAATCGACGTTACTCACTTGAAAATATTTATTTTCAGAGGTGAATTAATAAGTCAGTCCCAACATGAATCAGACATCAAAGAGGTTTAAATGCAATGAAAATGATTGTGGATTAGAATTCAAGAAGAAGTCTAATCTCCTGAGGCATATCACAAATCAGCACCACAAAGGAGGCAATATTCCTCAGTTTATTTGCGGCAATTGCAAAAAAAACATGTCCACTAAATATAACCTGAAAAAACATATTTTAAGATGTAACACCCTTCATAATAAAAACTGCATGGCACAAAAATATATCAAATGTCCTATGTGCACGTATAAAACTGAGTTGAAAAAAGACATGCTCAAACATTATTATAAAGAACATAACATCGACATATCTATTGAATTTCTGAGATTCGAAAATTTTTCAGAATTTGAGCAGTGGAAAACAAATTATGAGAATCAAAATATATGTAAATATACAAAGTGCACAAACAACAAACCAGGCAGTAAAATTAGTGTCCAATATTATCGGTGTCACAGAGATGGATTTTTCCAGTCAAGTGGAAAAAAATTAAGAAAAACAAAGATGAATGGAAGCAACAAAATCAATGGTTACTGTCCATCCAAAATCGATGTTTCTGTTAATAATGAAAATAACAAGGTGAAAGTTGGATTTTTGAAAAGTCATGTCGGTCATGAGATGGATTTGGAGCGAATACCTCTCTCTTCATCTGAGAGAGAATCCTTAGCTCAGAAAATAAGACAAAAAATTTCATTTGACGAAGTGCTCAACGATATCAGAGACAATGTTGGCCAAACTGAGAAACTGGAAAGAATTCATCTCCTTAAAAGAAAAGATCTGTATAACATTGAGCAAACTTTTAACTTGAAGAATGAAACAGTTAGGCGATCTAATTGCAATCAGAATCAACAAGAGTGTGGTAATAGCTCTAACAAAAATCTTGTCATAGAGTTGAATCAGAATTATTGTGAAAGTGTGGTTTCTTCACCAAATGACTTATCCAATGACATTATCCAAAACACAACAGAATTTAATTTCGGCATCAGTGAGATTACAGAAAATGAACGACAACAAGTTCCTATTTTATCCCAAAGAACAACGTGCAGTGAAGAAACACAATTGGAGAACGCCAAAATGAAAATCAGAGAAACTTTCCAGGCCATATTCAGTAGCATCCAAACAATTGAAGACTGTGAAATATTACAGGAAGCTTTGATACCAGTTTCTGCAGCAATTGCAGCAAATCAGGAGGCAGATTTTACTGGAAAATCGCAGCTTCTCACTGCAAAATCCAACAATACGAAACAAATTGAAAATATCTTGATGGATTATCATATAATGGATTCCTGTAAATAGCTACAAAGGTTTATAAGAAATTCTTGTGAAAATGTTATAAGATCAATAAAACTATACCTACAGTTAAGAACATATCAACATTATCTCAGTATAAATGCTAAACTTGTCTGCTTTCCAAATATATATATATATATATTTCAAGAATGATGTGTACAAAAATAACAAACACCAGGAAATATTCACTTGATGTATTGTAAGTATAGAAATATTATGATATTCGACATTTTGTAGACAACTTATTTTATTTCAGATACAGCTTGTCATAAGGGATTTGTCGTATGAAAGCTCCCAAGATTACGTCGTTCAACAAATTGGTCATTACTTGCTCCAAAACAGGCTGTATTTCTCCAAAAAGTTCATCAGCATTATCGTTGATTAGCTTGTTCGTCACTTCGGCTGAAAATTCAACAGGGATCAATGAGCAGAATCACAAAATTTGTAAGTATTTATATGAACTGGACATCCCGTGCTCAATAACGTTCTTCGGATGTCTGGATAATTCTTGACTTGTTTTCATTGGTATCAGCCAAAAGCTCTAAAGAGTAATTCAATGTTGTTCTCTGTTCATTGGTCCATTAAAAAATATCTATCATAGTGAAGGGCACAAACTTTTCCCACCTTATTTCTCAATCTACTTGATTTGAGGTTAAAATATCAAATTTCCCATCTTTATCACTCGGAATAGTATCTCTATGGACTACCCAAATCAATTAATGGAAATATTTTAAAAAATATCAAAGACGAATTTGGAACATTTTCCATTTGCTTCGATATTACTACCAATGATCTAATAATATTGAACTCATATACAGGCTGATTCACGGTGGAAGGCACATTAGACGTTTCTAGAGAACGTAACTTGGGATTATTTTGAAAATTTGATGTCTTGGATAATAAGTTGTGCTCTATCGACCTAAAATATTCTCAGCGCTCCGACGTTGGCGCTTATATTGAAAAGTAGCAACAACTTTGATTCTTTAAATGGGACACCCAGTATATTATTCCATTTTCAGATTCGTCCTGAAGAGCTGATTTAATTGACCTATAACACTTGGGGGCTAGCAGTGACAATTACAGAGATATAGGGTGTGAAAACGGTTTTCATGTCCCTATCTCAACTTTTTATTTACTGTCAATTGATATTTAATTGAAATAGGTACAGGGTGGTTTAGCATTTAGATGTTCAACCTCCCTGTATCTATTTCTATTAAATATCAATTGATGGTACATGAAAAGTTAGGATAGGGACATAAAAACCGTTTCGACTAATTATGAATAGTTTGGACACAAGAAATTCTTGAAGTTGAAAAATCTCGATTTTTCCCACCCTATATCTTTGTTATCGTTCCCGCTAGACCCAAGTGTAATAGATCCATAAAATCAGCTCTTTAGGAAAAATCTGAAAATGGAATAATATATAGGGTGCCCGGTGCCCCATTCAAAAAATCAAAGATGTTGCTACTTTTCAATATAAGCGGCAACTTCACAGTGTTGAGAATATTTTAGGTGGACAGAACACAACTAATTATCCAAGAAACCAAATTTTCAGTATCCTACGTTGCGTTCTCCAGAAACGTATAATGTGCAATCTAGGGAGAGAGAGAAAAACTGCGACAACATAAGAGTGAAACGCAAGACGCAACGAAATAGTTGGGTACAAATTTTGCACCATGCTAATTGTTAAATTCGAGGATATCCTTACTTATACTAATTTGAATTTTTAGTGTAGATTTATGTACTTAAAGACTCTTGTGTTCACCAATCCATGGATGTGTTAAAGCAAAAAGACTCAGGTTTTTGTTTTGATTCAAATAATTTGACTAGTTGAAATTTCAAATCGAACATTTACCGCGCCTAGAGAAAGATGTAGAAAACCAACCAATGAATTGGACAAACGAGAGAGAAGCAAAAAGCAGCTACTAAGAATATATTTGTCTTTGTTGCATATGCAGCCATACCGATGGTTCTTTGTAAGGCTAAGGCGGAGCTAGTAGTGTATAAATGTTAGATATCTTCCAACTCAAACCAAACGGATTGACCAGCTGCGTTATCCTATAGTGACTAATACAAATTAATACCTAGCTCCTTGTTGTCACCGAATAGTCCATTCAATTGGGTTCTTGTCTTTCCTATATGCATTGTTGTATTGGTAAACGAGATATCGAGATACTTTTCACCTTTCCTCGTAATAAGTTTTGTTTTTTGGTGAACAGTTGTCCTGCAGTTGTCTGAAATTAAAAAATATGTAGAGTGTTATTTAGGGTACATCAACAACTGATCTTAGAATGGGTAAGTTTCCTTCCGATGAATTTTCATAAAATAAGTTCGGAACTCTCCAGTTTTATGTCCACGCTGTACAGAATGGCGACCGATAAAGTCCAAGTCGTTTTCATTTTCAAATTAAAGCAGTTTCTAATTTTCGGGGTGGCAAACTTTGACGTACATTCTGAATCTAGTCTGAAAATAGCTGATGGTGAAGAATATAGCTAGCGAATAGCTAACGAATATCTAACGAATGAAGAACGAAATGAAAAAAATAGAAGAAGAAGTAAAACTGGTGAACAAAAACATACATAACCACAAATGTACTCGGAGCATGAATGCAGAGGGTAGTTGGCTCCATTCTGACAGGTTATGGTTTTGTTATTTATGCATTGAAATATCTCGAATAGAGCTCGATCCTAAACGAAAATATCATTGCATCAATGAATCACTATCGGCTACATTTAATAATACTATCCTTCCTAATTTACTGTCATTGGTTAGAACAGAATGAAGCCGATACCCATGGCTCCTTCCTCTTGTTGTTCCTGTCAGTATTTTGAGTGGTGTGGACGGACTCGAAGTATTAGGCGCTGTTGCAAGATATAATCTGCAACTTTCCTAGAAAACAGATTCGTTTTATCAAGGAACGAATTCATTAGCAAAAAATGACTGACAAGTTATGAATAACATATTGTAATATAACTATAGTGAAAAATTGTAGATACTATCGCATAATGTCATAATTAATCTTTATTAGTAATCAAATTCATTCAGCCAATGAGAGATTTATGGGAATTATTCATAATACTTTTGACAAAGTAGGATTGAAGAACCTATTATATGCCAATGCTGTTTTGATATAGTTATTATGCAGAACAATTTCTGTGTGAATGTGGATTTTCAGAATGGTGGAATGGTGGAGGAGCCAAGTTCCTCTTATATTTTTTTTTCTGTAGTGAAATTTGATCTTACGAAAAAAAGAAAAAATACGTACCTATGTATTAACTTTTTACAAACTTCACAGTGAGGTAAGAACCTCAATATAGGAAACTTCCCCATTTTGTATCAATGCTTGATAGAATATGAAATCCCAATCAAAATATTGGTCGATAGTTGTGGCATCATAGTTGAGGACTCATTGTATATTTACCTATGGTACAATTGAATGTTCCAGAACCGTCTAGAGGTACAGCTAGTATTTTTCCATGAAGATCGTATTTTCCTTCCATTTTTATTCCCTTAAAGATAGCATGACCAAAAAATTGTAAGTTTGGAACATCGAATCTGTAAAAATAACATACAAGTTTATTGAACGCTATATCAATAGACAGTAGAATGATTTGCAAGGACTTTATGGATTGATGCAAGTGGTGAACATAATTATTTACCAAGGTTTTATAGAGGATATTTTTCAAGTTGGGCTGTATAATGTTGATGGAAATGAGGAAGCGAGGCGAAAATAACCACAATCGTTTAATTAACATTTTCAATAATTTTGCGGGTCTTGTCCGAAGAAGCAAATTTTCATAGTTTCGTTGAGCACTAAATAATACAACTATGAGAGTTTGCATTATTTTGCTAGTTTTTTTCTTGCTCTCATTTTAAAAATGCTAAATTTATTAGGTACATGTAGCATTTTAATCGAAGCAAATATGATTGGGTACCTGTAGGGATTGGTCTGGACTGAAAACAAATTATCAATAATCAACATGAAACTCTTACAAGATAAGCAAATTACTTCCTACTTATAAGTGCTGTAGGGGCAGAGGTCGAGGAAAAACATTCCATTATTTGATTGAGTCTAGGAAATATTAACAGTTTCTATTCGAAATTTTATATATTTATTATATTCTCTATGCCACAGCATGACAGTGTGTGCTGTGGTTGAAGTCCATGTTGGTCACTGCCATATCTTTTAAACCAAAGATTCTTGATTTATACTGTTTTTATACGTAGATTGGATTCTTAGAAGAGTTGACACATACGTCTTTTGTCATATTTTTATCATCAGGGACACGACTGCTGTTGCAGTTCGTGCATTATATAGATTATGCAATTAAATATCAAGGACAAGCTGTTTTATATTGTTTCCATCAACAGCTATCAGGACCGGACTGGTTGGAGCTTTATTTTATACCCGATATTTGGTAGGAATTTAAAATTTTATTCAAACGCATGTTTATTCTACCGTGATCTAGAAAAGGTATAAAGATATTCATTGAAGTGTCTATTTCACAAGTTGCATGTAACTATGTAAAAAGTACTTTTCTAAATTAAAATTAATTTTGAATAGAGTATGAAACTGTCTGTTCCAAGATCACGTGGAGGCTTTCATATCAATATCTTCTGAAATGGTTATTAATGTATCGAGGGCGTAATGTAGGCCATTATACGCGAAAAAATGCCAAAACTGCAGAGTGTAAATAAGTCTTTTTTCATTGTGACAATTTAATTTATGTACAACATAACATCCCGTAAGTCGCTGTGATTTTGTCCTTATGACAGCGAAAAAATGTTATACCTTAACTTTTCCAGCAACAGAACGGAAATTTAACATTTGAATGCATGGCAACCAAAACTGTAAACAAATCTTTGATTTGATGTGTTGAGATACGATTGGGAATTAAGGGAATATTAGTTATTCAATGATTCATAAGTTCTCAATTGAGTATTGGTAATATTCCTTATTAGCAATAAAAATGCAATTGTCTCAAAATGGTCCCTTATGATTTGTGGCTTATTGCTTATAATGAATTTGTGTAAATAATTATTATGTTAATTCACACTACAGGACATTTGAATTGGTGAACGTGACAACCGCGGCGCACGACTTGTGGTCGTGGTCTTGTCAGTTCTCAGCATTCAGCACAATGTTGCCAAGTCTCCAACATTCACACGATATTTTGTTATGGAGAATAAGAAATATTTGGACATGCTGGTTGCTCGAAAAAGTCAAGAATGAACTACAATCTATTCAACGATAGGAATCTAACATCTTTTTAATAATTTGATCATAATTGGTGACTTGACAACCTTGCTTTATGATTTGAAATGGAAGATTATCTGACCAATAACGAAACAGCATTTAATCGACGTCTCGCCAAATGGCGGTTCATTTGAAATGAGCTCTGAAATTCATAATAATAATAATAATAAATATACTTTATTGTCATGAAAGAATTTCTTCTTGTCGACAAAGCATGAAGTCAGTAAAGAGTATATATAAAATAAATATAAAACAACTATAATATTAAAATCACAATACTAAAACATCAAATAAAACATTGAATAAATATGTTTTTGTCGAAATATGAAAATACATAGGTATAAAAACAATCACAATCATGAGTATGTAAGCAAACCTAATTAGAATGAAGTAAACACAAGAATTCTAATCAGCATACCCATATATCAGATATCAGATCGTGTCATCGTAGAATTCTTTAAGGCTGTAATATGGTCTGAGCTTCAGCAGTTCTTTGACAGTTTTCCTGAATATTTCAATATCTATTAATGCACCCCTAACATGGTTTGGCAAGTGGTTATACATTTTAACACCATTGTAATACAAGGAATCTCTCACTAAAGACGTGCTGGGTATCGGCAGTTTCAAACTATTAATGCTGTGGCGTGTGGAATAATTGGACTGAGCTCTGTCAAATTTGGTGAAGTGTTTCCTCACCAAGCATACGGTCTTTAATATAAACAAAGATATCGCTGTCAAAATTTTCTTTTCTTTGAACAATGGCCTACATGAGTCGCGAGGTTTGGCTTTGTAAATATATCGAATTGCTCTTTTTTGAAGCACCTGCACAGTTTCAAGTAGGTCTAGGTTACACACTCCCCAGAAAGGTATCCCGTACCTTAAATGTGACTCAATTAAGGCATAATATGCTGTTTTAGCAGTCTGGGATCCAAGCTCTTTTGAAATTACCCTCACTGCGTAGCATCCAGAGGATATTTTACTTTTGAGCAATATCAAACAACGCATAGACTCATTATTTACATAAAAAAAGCGTGAGAGGTGTAGCAAATAGTAGATTGTTTTATTAGGATCAAAAGTGACACTTTGTTTGACAAGCGAATTTTGCATTTGCGAGGCGGAGCGTTTAGCGAAGCCGAGCGAAAGCAAAATATGCGAGTCGAACAAAGTTACTTTTGATCCGAATGAAACATGCTATTTTTTCTGCAACCGAAACAATTAACTCAAATAAACATGTGAAGTAACCACCAATGCCGTGCCATATGTATGCAATGCAACAAATATTGACAAATAATTCATGTGGTGAGAAAATTCTACCTGCATTAACAGCAGGTTAGGTTTTCTAGGATGTTCGAATTGTAGTTTCAATATAAATACAACCACAGAGTGACATATTTGTGTATGGACCAGGTGCTCTAATGGCAAATACCGCGCCAGTGCCAGCTATAGGAACAAGACGTGGAAAATGTTAGTGAGCATATCAACAATGATAATAGTGATTATTTATTCCTCTCCATACTACACTGTGTTTGACTTGATAATCAAATGCGACAAAAAAACTATTGCTTGCCGTGATTATTCAAAAACAAGTTATCTATCCCGAGAATATCGAATGAAATACAGATCAAGCAAGTATTTGAATCTTGAAGGCTTCCCTGATCAAAACAAAAATACTTAACTAAGATGTTTATAATTCCAATGCCAATTCCAGCATGGGTATGAAATGCCAAATCTGCTGAAATCGGAAACAAATCAGGTATGGGTCTCTACCCAAATAACCAACCGTCACAATGTTGTTTATTCTTGATGACGTCCAGAAGATCCTTTTTAGTTCCTAGGAGCTAAAATTCAACTTTAGCTCCTAGGAACTAAAATTCAACTTTAGCTCCTAGGAACTAAAATTCAACTTTAGCTCCTAGGAACTAAATATGTTGCCTAGCAACATACCTATTTTCGTGTCAGTAATAGAAACGTCAATTTAAGAGCTAATTTTGGTATCAAAATGGACGACTTTTGTGTCGGTTGCAGAAAAAATAAATTTAGGTCCCGCGTTCTTCATGTTATGAAATATCGTGAATTTCGAGAATTATTCAAAAAACGTACAGAGCTCTGAGGAGAAAACGGTTCGGGTTATTACTTCAAAATAATAAATTAAAATATTTCACTGAAACATGCCCATTTGAGACTGATTCAGTGACCCCCTCACGTGCCTTGTTGTCAAGATAACCTCCTCCTTTTTGAAGTTCTTCAGAAACTTACTCGAATTTAGAGAATGTATAATCCGTCATGCCATGCATCAGAATATCCTTCAGCGTTGCTTTCAAATTGATGGCTGGTGTTCCTTGTTCAAAGGATAGTTCCGGCATGTAGAATGGTTCGAAAGGTGGCAAATTCAATTCGGGTACGCCCTTTGCCAAGTAGGGTTTCATTTTTTCGGTAGCCTCTAGCATGCACTTATTGATATTCGGATCTGTTAAGTTACATCTTGGAAAATGGCTTGCTACAAAGAAATAGTCAGTTTTGCGAAACTATATAATGATTGTGGTAAAACAAATATAGGCCAAACCAGAAGACCCATGAAAACAAGGTTCAAAGAACACCTAGCACATTTAAAATATGGCAAGTTAGATAAATCGAACACATGTTTAATCACAACCATAACACACAAAAACAACACACATAAGTTTATTATGAACCAATTAGAAGGCTCCTTTTTGATTACGTTGCTTAGCAACAGGTGACTATCGCGATAATTTTGTTCGGCCCTTTCAACTTAATGGAATCAATAAGTGATAATTATTCTGTCGAAAATTAAGCGCCTTATCTATTGGCAAGAGTCACTCAGTTTAATTTGAAACTATGTAGACATTTGATATCAGATGTTATGGTTGAAAACGAATTCATGTTTTCAATGTTCCTGAAATTTTAGCAATAAACCTTTTAGTTACTAACAAGTAAAATCAACTTCTATTGAGAAAATATAGTTTGTCATATTTATCTAAACTCATCGGAAATATGTTTTTTCAAGTTTGTTATTCAATTTTTCTCACATATTAGTAATAAAAACGAGTTATACCTGGGAGTATCAAATTTTATTTGACATCTACGCAGTATGTGCCGTAGGGTTGATCTTCTCATCATATCAAAAGCAACTCCAATTTATGAAATCTTCTCACCGTATCTCCCACGCAGCAGAATTCATTTCCGATAATTTTTTTCTCGGTGGAAAAATTATCGGCTATAATTCTGCTGCTAGGGAGACTATAAGTGACAATCATTAATTAATCAAAGTTACAAATAAGGACAAATGAAACAGAATCATAATATACTGGGTGGGTCACGGTCTATGGTACCCTTGACGTTTTTGGAGAACGGGATATATATACAGGGTGTAACTAAATGAGTGTAAAACATTTGAGTGGGTGATTCCTCATCGAAAAAAAGATAGGATCTCTCATATAAAGAAACTTCAATGGAGCATCCCACATTAAGATACAGCCCCTTGAAGGGGGTACAGAAGATTTTTTCAACAATTTTTTTCACAACCACTAAAAAAGTTACAGTATTGAAATTAACCTGACATTTTCCACTACCGAAAAGACACTAATTCATTTGGTTTACCCCATGGTTGTAAGGGGTGGAAAACGCAACCCCTAGATTATATTTCCAATGTAACTTTATGTCTTATTATATGTTAACCATTTAAAAATTTATTTTCGATAGCCTATTTCATTCTTAACAAAAAATGCCCCTTGAAGTTTTTGCCCAAAATAAACCAGTTCGCAGCAAAAAATAATTTTACGAACAACAGTTTGTAAATTTTTAGACTTGAAGTAATACTAATTGTGTATTGTTGTTCTGTTCTTAATTTGTGAAAAAAATCGTTGAACAAATTTTATGTACCCCTTCAAGGAGCTATATCGTAACATGCGATGCTCCAATGGAGTTTCTTTGTATAAAAGATCCTTTCTTTTTTTCGATGAGGAATAATCACCTCCTTAAATGTTTAACACTTATTTAGTTACACCCTGTATAAAGGTTCATTCTGAAAATTTGGTTACCCAAGTAGTTTTTTTTATCGCTTGGTGCGCACGAAAAGGAATCCCTATAAGGTTCGAAGAAAATCGTGCTCTTTGTATATCGATCTAAAAATTTTCAGCAATGCAGCGCTTTGCCGCTTATATCAGGAAGTGTAGTAGCACCTTTGATATTTCTTCACATTTTCAGATTTTCCCTGAAGAGCTGATTTCATCAATGTATCACACTTGGGGTCTAGCAGGAATGATTATAGATATTTATATAGGATGTTCAAAATCGAGATTTTTCAATTTTAGGATTTTTTGTGTCGAAATTATTCATTATTGGTCAAAACGGCTCATATGTCCCTATCTTAACTTTTGATTTACTATCTACTGACATTCAATTGGACCAGATACAGGGTGATCAGAATTTTGAATCTTGAAACACCCTGTATTTGTTTCAATTAAATGTCAGTAGATAGTAAAGCAAAAGTTAGGAAAGGGACATGAAAGTCGTTTCGAACCGATAATGAATAGTTTCGACATGAAAATATCCGCAAGTTGATCAATTTCGATTTTGAGCACCCTATATATCTCTGTATTCATTCCCGCTAGACCCAAAGTGTGATGCATTGATGAAATCAACTCTTCAGGGAGAATCTGAAAATGAAATGACATACAGCTGTTCCATTTGAAATATCAATAGAGCTGCTTCTAGTTTAGATCGATAGACCAAGAGCAACTACTTGATTGAACAAATTTTCAGAATGATCCTATGTCCCGTCCCCCGTAAACGTAAACGTTACTCACCCTATATACTCAACCACATCAATTCATTTATGTTTCACAAGTTGATAGTACTCTTTGTTGTTTTAAAATGTGTGAAAAATTGTATCATATTTATAACGGAATTACAGATTGAGGCGTTTTATTCAATTCTGAAGAATAACAATAATTGATTCAGAAAAACCACTAACGTTTCTCTGATTTTCATAGCCAACTAGATAATTTTGAAAGTTCGAATTAATTTCTATTTGAATCTAGAATGAAAAAATTAGTCGGCATTTAGTCTCTATCTCTTGGCGCAATTTTTTTTCAACGAAACTAGTTTGAACACAGATAAAGTCAACACTTATGGAACATTTTGGATATGTCCTCCATGGAGAATATTGTGCAATAAAATTAAATATTTAGCTACTTACGTAAGTTTTTCGTGCTGTACAATTGCAGAAAACATAGAATCAGGAATGATATGTTCACTGTCGTCATATTTTCATAACATTCCAGTCAATGCAACGAGACACTGTTATGAACTTATAATATAGATATTCAATTTTTCTAACCTTAACATCTAGGAACCATATAGATGATCCGGTTTTCATAAAGCATTAAAAAACAATAATGATTTGGTTTGCAGTTTGTTTCAATATAATATGCATCATTATAATTAATTGTTCTATCGACTACTTAAAAACCCGTTTCTGTGTTGTTCTTGAGGTTGCATCAGTATTTAAATAACAATGTATAAAATGTGTCTGAAACTAGTGAATTCCTTTCTTTTGTGACTTGAATGTACTTGTAGTGTTTGAAGTAAAAAAAAAAAGAATTGCTATATAGTTCTCAATTATACAAGATGATTCACTGGCAATTATGAAGAAAATTCAAATAAATGTTTACCTCAGAGTCTCTTTTATTGTTCTCTCATCATATCACGTGAGATCAATTGCTAAAAGTGCATCCCAAAAACTTGGTTTTCTGTTTGAAAACCGTGGAAACCAGAAAATAAAAAAAATATTTTCTATTTTCCACAGTGTAAACCAATGACTCTGGTGTTTTCTGAGAATATTATTTTTGACCTAAGCAAGGCATTTTTTTTCAAATATAAGCCCTAGATCAATGTTTCAGATTTACTTGTACTGTGTGTTTTTCAGTTGTATCGTAAAAAGATAATTTTTAAAAAATCCATTTTTTTTCCTACGTTATTATCTGAAATACAGGAAAACTGAAAATACTATTCCATTGAAACTCTTGTTGAATTCAACGTGGTAATATTCATCCCTATACGACGTTTCGTATACGTAAATCCATCAAGTTATTATTTTCAAGTACGGACCTAATTATGTTGTTACTGATTCTGAAAGCTTTTTTCATACTAAGTGCTCTCATAGTTGTTTAAATAATGTCTTATGACCTTGTTCTAGCCATCATCAATGTTTCATCGAAACTTCAAAGAAAAAATATTTTGTAGAGCTGTATACGGAGATATTACCTAGTTGATAGAAAAGCACATTCTGTTCGATGCAAAATGATGACCACATAGTTGATATTAAATGAGTTATCCAAAACCCACATAATCACCAATAGACCAGTGCTGAAGCCTTTGAAAACGGTAAAAAGTAAAAAAAAATTATAGTAGGATGAAACCTATTGGAAGAGAAAGCTGCTTCAAAAAAACTCAGATTTTTATTTCGTGCGAAAATTTTCTTCACACGTCAACAGCTTCTCATGATCCACAAAGCATAGATACGGCCTGTTTCAGAATACTGTTCTCACATATGGGGTTCAGCACCCAAACATACGCTGATGCTCTTAGATTCAGAGAAGAGAAATTCGCCTGGTAGGTGATGCCACACACATCATTGGAACACCGTAGAAAAGTCCTACTTTACTTCCACATAATTTGTTTGTGAATATTAACGGCAAAGCTTTGAAATTCTTTTCCAATGGAAGTAATCTCAAGAACTTGGAATCTTCAAAAGTTCAAATTTTTTTTCAATACCTACCTCCTCACCCTATCCTCCCAAGGCACGCACGATGTTCTTCGAACATTATAGGAATTACCTTTGGTGCGCTCCAAAGGATGAAATTCGACTGATGAATTCGTTCAGCGTTGCACTTCTGGTGTAGATATTTTAACTCCCTCAAAATATATGGCAATAAAAAAAACAATGTTTTATTTAAATTTGAAAACATCAAATTAGGAACATGCAATGACATATGCAATGCCCATATCTTCAGTCTATGCTAAGAATTCATGGAAATCAAAAGGTTATGTTACTTTTTTTCCAATTATAGATAAAAAAGATTTTTTATCGAGTCATAACTCCCAAACATGGAATGTCAAATTATGGAGGACGATGAGGCATAATAATTCACAAAGCATAGGCTGAAGATGGACATTGCATATGTCCTTTCGTGCGCTCCAAGCGATTGAAAAAAATATGTTCCATATTTGATGTTTTGTCGAGAAGATGTGCTTTGTGCTTTTCTCATTGAATACGAATGTTTTATTTATTTTATTTGTTTCTATTCTCTAAAAAATATATCAGTCTATAATAACACTATAATAACAGTTCGGCATTATCAGAATCCCTCAGGGTATGGGAGGGTATAATTTATCGAAGGGCACTTGCCCTTCCACGGCCTTCAATAGGAAATCCTCCAAGATGTTTGTTAAAACTTTGTCTATTACTGGTCTGATATCTTCGAAAAGCTCGTCGATATTGTCGCTGATCACCTTGTTTGTGACATTATCTGAAAAAAAAAAAAAAAAATCATGAAAATAGTCGCACGTAACCGGGATGTTCTGAATGTAAACCTGATGACAATCTATTGAATATAGGCATACTGGACGCTTCTGTATTATTGCGATCTACAGAAATAAAAGTTATTCAGTTATCATGGGCGTGAAATAGGCTTTTATGGACCGTAGCATGTAAGTAAGATACGCCAATGTCCATGAAAGCAAGTTACGCCCGAAATACATGCAATATTTTATTCACGAACGGTATATTTTAATTGATTTTTCAAAGCTAGAAATACATCATGGCTGCAGTTAGGAATATCATTGATGGAATCAACGTTACGTTACCACGGTAACTCAGGTAAATTGTTGAAATAGGAGTAATCTTTCATATTTGCTGTAAATGATGATATAATCCCAGATATCTTATTTTGGGCTCGATCATATCATTTTGTATCTGAGGTATATCAAGAGAACTGTAATACTGGATGATGAACCATCACACACTTATTACCAGTTACCGATACACCGGCGGAAAAGTAGTCCGTGGGCGGTAAAGTAATGTATTCTTCGCCAGTAACATACATAATTCGTCCAAATTAATTCAGAATCATCAATAAATTCCATATTAGTAAATAAATGTCAAAAACGGCCGTGCATTAAATGTTGTATGTATTTCAGGCGTAACTTGCGTTTTTCCACGACTAGCTATAAAACATACCATCATTATCGGCCTATTTATGCATCATTGTCTTAGTCATTGTCTTAGTCATTGTCTAAATCATAGTCTTATCAAGGTGAATAGAATATTGACTCATCATATTTGGACCTTTATGCATCACAGTCTTTAGGCTTAAAAATTATGATATGACAATTGACAATCCGTCAAGAGATCCGTCAGTAAATATGGTACAAAAACAAATTCTATACACCAGACATAAAATGTAATCTATTTACCAGTCAATGCCAAGATTTGTGACATTGATTTCCAGGAATTATCTATTGCAATTTTTTCTTTGTGTTTTGAGTCTTTCTTGTCCCAAAGATGGGGATATTTCTCTACCAAATCTATTAGGGTTCCTTCTTCCAGGCTCATGATTTTTTGATATTTATTATCAAATGTAATCAAATTATCAGAATGATGTTATCAATTATGGACATAGCACAGAATGGCACTGATTTTTGGGAGACAAACACAAAATTAAAAGTCATTTGTGATAGTCAAAGATGTTGACAGGTCTACACATGCGCATTTCTTATCTGGTCTCAATCATAAGCATAAAAATTGAAAGTTTGTAACTTTGATGAAATGATTGAAATATATGGCTAGTAGTGAATGAAATGTAATATAAATCTTGGTAGTAAAGAATATTATTACAACAGCTGAAGCCTCCGGGATATAATATTGGTCCCTGGTTAATAATGATATTCTTTACTACCTTGGTGTATAAATAACTATATTATGAACCAAAGACCTAGGTGTGTTAATGCACGCTGCGGTCCATAAAAACCCACATTACGCCCTTGATACATAAATAACTATTTTGCTATTAGTGAAAGTGATTGAAACCATTGAAACCAAAGAGTCACTTATATCCTGATCAGCTTAGCTGTCGGTCTCAAGTTTGGTAAAGGGAAATGAGATGCGATGTGGAAGTATTCCCGCAAGATGGAAAGGTTAAGGTCATGGGCGGCCTTCGCATCCCTATGTAGACCACCCTGTATACACGTTTCAACCCAAATCGAGGACAATTACATAGGTTTCTGTTCTACCTTCGAAAATCAGTGGAACAAAATATATCCTTTAAAGAGGCATGCAAAACAAGGTCTGGTCTACATTTCATAAATGGTTATATGTCACGTTACCTACTCATTAATACATTTTTTATTGACAACGAAATTAACGAAATTAGTATATCATGTTGATATACTGTGTTTCTGTGCGTATGATCTTGCATGCGAAAAATGGCCCCTTCTTTTACTTATAATATTAGACGAGAGTTTTTTTTATCGAAGTAAACTTTACATTTTGATGTGAATTTTGTTGCCTGATGGAATTTGGCAGCTTTTTGGGATGAATTTCCTGGAGGCAACAAAACTCTAATTATAAATTTCAAGTTTACTGCAACCCAAAAAAAGTGATCGAGTGTGAAGACACTGGTGCAAAAAGGGGATATAGCTTCATTTTTAGAGAATTTCCAGTAGGCGATGAAAACTGTTTATTTTGAGAAATATCTATTATGTCGATTTTCTGTAAACATCATGTTCTAGTTGAGTTGAGAAGATATAATGTTGTCAAATATACATTTTTCGAAAAAATGTCTCAACCGAAAAAACTTCGAAAAAATCTTGAGGAGCTACCCCCTTCTGTGCACCGGCAGGGATTATCTGAGATATTTAAATATGAATCAAGCACTACTGTATGAGAAAACTAGGAATCGTTTTCATTCAGGAAAAGAGTTACAACATCATTTATAGTAATGAATTTGAACATATGTGGAGACTGGTTAGGCTGTTTTTTCCTTGGCACTCGAGCCTGTCGTAAAAACACATACACTATGGTGATACCTATCGTCCATGAAAATATCTATAAAATAGAGCCAGATCGCCAATTTTCCTACGGTGTTCCAGAGAAGTGAGTAAGTTTGTGAGCGAGGCGTCATCCATGAGACGAATTGCCGTGGTATGTTTGGGTGCTGCACTCCAAATATGGGAACAGTATTCCAGGACAGGTCGGATCTGTGCCTTATAGATCATAAGCAGCTGACTGGAAGTGAAATAGCTCCTGGCCCGAAACAGAAAACCAAGTTTTTGGGATGCACGTTTAGTAATTGAACTCACGTGATTAATGAAGGTTATTGCTGATAATAATACCAAGCATCGATATGGATTTCCTCAAAGGTATGGTTACTCCTGACAAGCTAGTGTTTTCGCGATAGCACAAACTGTCTCTGGCTTGGTCAGATTATATGATGAGTGAAATAATACGGTACAAAAGGGCGGAATTCAGTCGCACACATTCGAAGAATGCAGGAGGCTGCTCTACCATTCGCTGGTCGCTGGAAATTTTAGGGCAAAGTTTTGTCTCTGTCATAATGACAAAATCCCAGTGGCTTATGGGCTTTTTTATATATGAATTTAATTATCAGCAAATGTATGAAGCTGTCTACAGTTTCGCATTCATTCCTTTATAATCATTATCGATATTCATCATAATCTCAGTGGGTACATAATAAAATCGCTATTAACATTCGTGGACCTTCGTTAAATGAGTGTGTGAAAATAATAAGTAATAAAATAAATTAGTCCAACTAAGCACTAATGTTAAATACCTATATTTTCTTCAAGTTTCATAATGATATGAATTGATACTCACACAAACACTATGATTATTAATTAATATTGCAACCAAAACAACATTATGAATTTATTAATGAGTATAATAACTTGTATGGCTGAAAAAAACGATAAATAATAACTCCGTTTTATACTGTTGATCTCCTTGGAATCATGAAATTATGAAAACAAGCACGCTCAATGAAGTTTTCAAGTAATATGCGGAGGAAATAAATCACTAATTCACAGGGTGATTTCAAGATATTGAAATTCAGTTGAGTTTATAAATATAGCAAAAAATAGAGCTGAGAATGCCATATTTCATAGAGTTATTGCAAACTCTAATGTGACGATTCTTCAATGAAGTATCCCATTATGTTCAATATGATTGATTGTCTCGTGTGAATAGTTGGAAATATCCCACAATAACTCACATTTACTATCATTTTATAGTTATGAATTGATTTTTCACATGGTGTGGATCGAATTATGGAATAGTCGAGCGGAAAAAATTGTGAAGGTCTCAGCAGCTCAGCACTTTCTAGAATGAATGAATGAATGGCACTCGAATCTAGTACTTATTTATCAATATTAGAATTAGAATTGAAAAGACGTGCTTTCATAGTGACCTAGGTCCACATTTCAGTTTCACCGAACTATAATGATTGAAATATATTGCTAGTGGTGAAAAAAATTTCATGTACACCTTGGTAGTGAAGAATATTATCACCACGGGACCTTTTATCTCTCGGCTGAAGCCTCGGGATACAATCTTGATCCCTAGGTATAATAATGGTATTCTTTACTACCTTGTAGAATAACTATTTCTCACCACTAGCAAGCAATACATTTCAATCATTTTAGTGTTGTGAAACTTGAATATGAACCTATTTTCACTATGACAGTACTTTTCAATTCTAATTAAAATCTAGTAGCCATGACCATGACAGTATATGACAAATCGTTATTGATAAATACCTACGAGATTCGAGTAACATTTCTGCGAGAATCCTGCAAGTAAATAATGGTAGGTTTTGAAGCTAGTGGTGGAAAAACAATATTAATGAATGAAACTTACCGTAATAATGTGGATGTTAGAATACAAATATTTTCATCGGGCGAAATAAATGAATGAAACAGTGGAGTGCATGAATCCACTTTATCCTCAGCAGTGGTTGATTCTAATGTTGAAAAATATTGCTGTGGCAAATCCACAATATGTTATATTTAAACTTACTCAGTTCAGGATTTCCATCGAATAGTCCATTGAGATTCACCTTTGGACCTCCAACATAGATCGAACTATTCGTGTGAACTGGAAAAATGTAATCTACGCCTTTTTTCTTTCGTACCTCAACTTTTTGATAAACTGTTGCATTACAATTGTCTGAAACAAAATGAATATCGTATAATCTACAACAGACAAAATCGAGAAATGAATTATTCGTGTTCTTTGCACAAATACATTTTGGCCAAATTGAAATAGGTGTAACCTATACCTCATTCTTCGCAGAATTCTACTATTCTAATTTTTCATTGATATTTTACAGCGTGTCTCACTTTGAATGAATTTTCATAAAATTTCTATGAATGGTGTCAGGAAAACAGGCACATCAAAATAACATGTTTGCGAGGGTGAATAATAAGTATTTACTCGGAAACGGTGAGTTCAACAAAAAAAAAGTATATCTTTTTTTTACAAATCATCATTTTCTACCTTGCGAAACTATTAAAAGTGTCTGAATTTGTAGTTGGTTCAAATTCACTTGTTTCTAGACAATGATATGAAGTTATTTTTCCTGCCAAAAAAATCCTCTTATTAATTTCATAAAAACATTTTCCCTTTTCAATCCAATAAAAACGCACGGCACTGTTCAAAAGGACGTGCGTCTCTGAAAATCTGATCATATTGATGGTTATTCATAACTGTCCAAATTTGGTCAGAATCGCACGACTGATAGCTGATGCAACGATGCTTGTACTGATTTACATGAACATATCCTAACAATTTTCATCCGAGAGTTTTTTTAAACCTTCTTACCTATTGATGCAACGAAGGTACCTGAACCAACTATTGGTGCAATCAAAATTTTTCCATTGACTGTATAATTTCCCTTGATAATCATTTCACCTAGGTCGGCATCACAGAAAAATTGCATATTTGGTACATCAAATCTGAAAAAGAATTTTATAATAAACTAGTCAACACATGAAACGTAAAATCGCATTTTTTCGATCATATTTGAATCATCATAACTTTCGATTGCCTCAACCGATTTTCAATTATTTTTCAGTTTCTGAATACTCGTTTCATTGACTATCGAACTTATACAGGGTGTCCCATTGGGAATCGGAAAATTGTCAACGGAGGTTAGACCTCATCAAGGTAGTTGAAATCTCTGGAGTATCGAACTATACAACATAGGATTTGCTGGCAGCTGACGATATTTGTTCGATGTGAGTTACAAATAAAAGTTTTGCATCAAATATTACTCCAAGATCCTTGAATTTCTGCTCTCTGTAAGTCAGTATTATCAATGGTATAGTTGAACATGACACAAGATTTCTTTTCGGGATTGAGAAATAACTTATTGGAAATACACCATTCGTTAATTCTATGAGTTAGTTATCTTGTAATAATTGACAATTCTTTGTATCTGAATTTCTCTAGAATATTTTCATATTGTCAGCATTGAGCATATAGCAAACCATTAACTTCAATGCCGTCGCTTATGTCGTTAATGAATATGTTAAATAACAGAGGATCAAGGTTCGACCCTTGAGATAGGTACTCCAGTTGTAGCAAGATATTCGACTGACCTGTGACCACGGAATTCGACATATCGCCTTCTTGATGACAGATATGACAGAAATAATTCTATCAAATGAGAAGAGAAACCAATTATATAGACAGTTTATTCAATAAAATGCGTGATATAGTCTGTCGGAAGCTTTAGAGAAATCTGTATAAATTACGTCTGTTTGAAATTGATTATCCAGTTCCTCTGCTATATGCGTAGTTACATATATACATATATACAAATATAAGTAATAAATAAAGATCAAACCACTGGAATTTAAATTCCATAAAACGCGAAATTTATTGATGTCATTTGAACTGTTGTTATTGATGAAAAGTCATGGAACTGGAACACTGTGATGGAATTTAATATGAAAATTCATGTTCTTTCTGTGTCTAGATACTTTCTTCCCAGTTTCTGTCAGTTGCATGTCACGTCTCAGCAGCAATATTTGTATTTAGGCGTCATCTTGTATATGTCGTCTTCATTCTATCTCATTTGCCTCGAACCTCTCTTTTAAACATGTCTCACAGTGAGAATGGCGCTTTGAAAATCCGGTTCTCTAAAAATTCCAGTGGTTTGATTTTACAACAGATTCTGTAGCAACTTGACATGTTGAGGACAACTTCTTCTACACGCTTTGATCTCCAGAAAACTTCTCACCTAAGAATGTAAGAATGAAAGAAAGCCAATAGAAGTTGGAAAAATATTCATATATCAGTAACGAGTGTGACAATTCTAAAATTTTTTTAACTGTACCGAGAAAACATGATGCGATGTTTTTGACCACAAAAAAAAGAAACAATTATTTTTCAAAAGGGAACTTTCTGGAAAACTGCACAGCTTTGATTATCCTGTAGAATCTCATTTCGAAGAGATGCAATAAGCATACAGTAACTGGAAAAGAATTGAAAATCGCTTGAGGCAATGATGATTCAAATTTGTTGGAAAATATGCGATTTTACGTTTCAAGTGTCGAGCAGTTTAGATAGTTTCATAGCAGTTTTATAATAGTTTCATAGCAGTTTCATAATAGTTTCATAACAGTTTTATTATAGTTTTATAACAGTTTTATAATGGTTCTATATAATCTAATTGAATTTTAGGGAACAGTACGACTACAATATGATGTAGTTACACTTACTCAAATCTGCTGAACTTATAATTAGTAATTCCGTGTATTGTCACATTCGTCAACGTCGCTTTGAAGTTCAGTGCACTGGTTCCTTGTTCTAATACCACTTCCGGGATAATAAATGGCTCTAGAGGAGGCATACTCAATTCGGGAACTCCCTTTGCCAAAAAGGGTTTCACTTGTTCAGTAGCTTTGACCAAACACTCATTGATTTTCGGGTCATATCTGTGGCAGTTTGGGAAATATTTAGCTGAAAAATATTTTGAGAAGTAGTACCTCATTCCTGTGTAGAATTTCTAAATTATCATCAAAACTATGGTTCCTTTCTAATATATGGTTGGCGTATGTTGAATTTGTTTTCTTTTTAAAAAAATTCATCCGATGTTCATGAATGCGGTGATTAAACGTACGACCTATCTGACCGATATATACCGTAGGACAAGATCCACAGTTGAGTTTGTGAGTTGATAAAATGTATTTGCTATCAACCCTTTCAAGTTAATCCGGTAAACTTATTTCAATGTAGATATTGTGCCTATTTTCCGAAAAAAATTTTTATCGAACCTTTCCACATGTAATTCCAATCCTTCAGGTTGGGAAAGTAGGATATACAAAAGTTAGGCAAGCCAAGGTTAGTTTATTTCATTGTACCAGTATTTCACCTGATGAAGCTACTGTGTGATAAAGAATTTTGTGAAATTCTCATCTTTTGTGAAGTATTCAAATTTGATATGGATTTCTTTCAAGTAACGGCCGAGTCAATCCAAAAAAATTCAACAAAGCTTTTTACTGCCTTACAGTTTTGGTCGCATCTAACAGCGCGACACTACGAAGGTCTAAAGAGATATAAAATTAGTTAGTTCGATATAAGATTAATAATAAAACAAAAATTGTGAGAGGACTAAAGTGGGTGTTTTGTCATATTTTTCTAGCTATATTTCTGAAATTTGAAACATCGAATATGCTCACTAGAGGGCACTATCTCACATTTTAGGAAATGTATTTCTTCTTCCGGTTTTCCTGGAAATTACATCAACTTCCGATTTTCAAATGGAACACCCTGTATTTTATTATTCGGGGTGAGGCTAAGGGCATTTCTTTCCCCAACTTTTTTCTATGCAATTTTCGGCAGTGTGACCAGGGAATATGAAAATACCATATTTTTTACCTAAAAATGATACACCTGTTCAGTTTCGATAGCATTTTTGAGATGAATCGATTTTAAAAGTCTGCTGCGTAATAAAAATTTTACTTTTTCTTGATAGGGTACCTACCATAATATTTTTTAAATTATTATTTTTATTGTTCCTCTCATATTTTGAGTAAAAAATCACAGGTAGATGTTGAAAAAAGGTTTTTTTCTATCGAAAAAAAATTTTTGGGAAAATTTGCTACCCAATTTTAAGGAAAAAGCACTATTTTTGTTACGCAGCAGACTCTTAAAATCGATATATCTCGAAAATGGTGAGTGCTGAACAGGAGTATTAATTTTAAGTAAAAATTATTATATTTTCATATTTCCTGATCAAACTGCCGAAAATTGCATTGCAAAAAAGTTTGGGGATGAATTGCCCCTAGCCCCACCTATTTCCCACGCCCCTGATAAAAATTTAAGGAAATTTTTAATGTACAAAATTTCGTTATCTCAACACAGTGGGTTTCAGAACTATATACATGAATCCATCATCTCGTGCTCCCCTTCAGATATCTATAACTCCCGAGGGGGCCGTTTCTGGACCCATGTTGACATACACTTTTTTCAAGATTTTTGTTTCTAGTATCTGTGGTTTAAATCTTTCTATGCAACTTCAAGACACCCTGTATAATCGGGTAGAGATTATTATAACGAATTCAACAATACCGGGTTTGATTGGGTTATTTGAAAAGATTACGAAGATATTCGCGTTCGAAGTTTCCATAAGCGCAATGAGTGTGACTGAGAAAGAAGATTCGATATTGCGCCGTCACACCCATCAAGTTATCTTATCGTCTACTGTTTGTAGAATACATTTTAATGGTGAATTTCCTGTCTTTCCAGTAAAGCTTCTCAAGCTCGTTTAAAAATGAGCTTTATATGATTTGCCTTGCAAAAACTAGTGCAGAGTCTGGATTCTTTGGTCCTGAGCTTTCCTGTGGAACAAGCAAATTTAACCTAACGGCCGAGCTCAAGAAATGAAAAGATACTGAAAAGTTATCCTGAAGAGCTACTCAGACTCAGCAAACCAGAACTAAAGCTTATCACAGGCTTTTTCACAGGGCACTGCCTTCTGAGGACCATCTCAAAAAGATGGGATTAGGCTGAATCATCTGGGACAGGTGTATCTGACCCCTGCTGAGGTGGAAAATTCATCCATAAAGAAAATCATAGGCTTCATTAGAAGTCTACAATATTTGTCTATGCATGCTCAGATGACTAAAGTTAGATGAGGGTAATCACAATAGGTCTTCTAGGTAGCAGTGATCGATAGGTCTTATAGCCTATACGACTCACCTATATACAATCTACAAATCTTATCTCAATTAAATGAACTAATAACTCGATCAATCGACCATTGGAGATTTAAAAGCGAATCTCTAATATCGTAATAGAAAAAGTGCACTTACGCAGATCTCTGGATTCAATCACAAAGATTAAACAGAAAAAAATACTCAAAGTGCTGTTGACGTTCATTACAGATATGTTGTTGAGTCTTCGCACTTTACCGAGAAAACGAATCGAAAACAAGTTTTATACTGTTTTATATGAAGCCTTAGATCGCCAATTCCACTTCCACAGAAATAGGGGATAATTTCCGTCAATTTCCGTATTTTTATCTTTTTTTGTTAATCAGTGGTCGGTGTCTGAAACAAGGATTACCTGTTATTTGGTGCGATGTGCTGTCTTGATTAATTGATGTATATCAAAAATAAATTTATATGTTTATACTATTAACTTTGGGATTGAATTTCAAACAAGTTCGTCCATTGAAGGTTATTCCGATGACAATGATCCATTGACATTGACCATGTAAACATATTTTTTCTGGTACAGTTTGTCCGAAACCTTATCACTAAAACCATAGCAGAGTAGTGTGATTTTCCAGTGAAAAAGTTACTATTGATGTACATTCAATTTTAATTCTTTTGTTGGCTCATGCTCATTGGTTGGTGTTTCATGGGCGAGCATATCAACTTCTTCAACTACATTCGTCACTCCCCGAAATGAAAGATAATTAATTCGAATAAATGTAGTTTCCTACTGAATAATCATACAAAACTTTTTTTTGAAACGTCGCTCAATATGAATTGATAATTATTCTGATCTTTCCCATATAAGTGTTGTCTTATCCTTGATCTACCCCCTGAAAAATTTTGAGTGTACCACTGGATTCTGCGTGAAATTCTGTATGGGATGAGATTTTAATTTACCATTTTCGCTGAGAAACTTCGTTGTTATAGAGGGGGTCCAAGGCCAAGGAGTTCAAAATCGCCCTGTATCTCATAAACTGAAACGGTTATGCAAAATCTGATGAGGCCATATTGACTTTCACAAAAAGTGGCACCGGACCCCGAAAACCGCATGGTTCTATCTTCAACAACAACCGAGATACCTGGCTGTCTCACCCAAAATGTCACGTACTGTTCCGAGTGAAACGTTATAAAGTACCACCCCCAATAACTTTATTATTTTTGCCAGTAGCAAAAAATAAAAATACATCCTTACAAGGGATTTTTTTCCTCATCGAATCAACTGATATATTTTTAGTATCTCAAAGGATATACAGGGAGCAAGAAAAAGTGTAAAAAAAATTCAAATGGAACCCCTTTTGAAGAGCTTTCCAAAAATACCCCACTCAATACATTCATCTTCAGTATTTCTCATAATATGGGCAGTCTAACCTAAAAAAAAGTGTTTATCGATTCTCAAATGAGTTTTGAGAGTATGTTGTGAGAATGATTAATTAATATATCGTTATGATATTCAATACTCATTGACAGTAAGATTGATCGCAACTAATATTTCCACCCCCGTTCTAAACACATTCTTCGTAGCAATTCTGTAAATGGTTTATAGCATTTTCTATAAAATGTGCATGTCTTCCATTCAGCATATTCACTTCATGTCTAATGAAATATTTGATATCATCAGCATTGGTGTTCCACGAGACGAATTGCGCTTTCTTGGACAGTATCCAACAGTTTCAGGGTATGTTTGGGTATGCTGCACTCCATATATGGTAACAGTATTCCAGGACAGGTCGGATCTGTGCCTTATAGATCATAAGCAGCTGACTGGAAGTGAAATAGCTCCTGACCCGGAACAGAAAACCAAGTTTTTGGGATGCACTTTTAGCAATTGATCTCACGTGATTTTTGCTGATGGTAATACCAAGCATCGAAATAGATGTCTTCAAGTTATGGTTACTCCTGACAAGCTTATGTTGGGCACAGTGAGATCGGCTTTTCTAGAGAAAAGGCATGATTGTGTTTTGTTTGCATTGAAATCTACCAAGTTATTTGATCCCCATTCGAGAATTGTTGCCAAGTCCATATTTATGTTGTCAACATTTCTCCCTCGTTCGTCTTACAGCGGATGTGTTTTGATTATTTTCTATGAATGAAGTTACTATTTCTTGCTTTTCTTCATTTGAATAAACCATGATTCGAGAATTGATTTTGAGGAAATTAACAAGAAATGACGAAGGAATTTATCTTTACTAGAAATGACAATAAAATGTCATAACAAACCCTCATTATTTTTCCATTTGCTAACAATGTATCATGTCGTGGCAACTTAACAAACAATCTACTTCAACCATAATGTAAAAAAGTCACTGTCAAGTAATTCTGACATTTATAAGGTACTGAGACGCAGGTAGCTTTGATTTGATCACAAAACTTATCAATTATCAACTCATAAAAAACGATTTCTTCCACTTGTTGGATAAAACATTGTATGCCACTCTTGTGTTATGTTTCCTAAGTCACTTGAGAATTTATATAAATATTTGTCGTGTGACTTATTTTCAACATAACACACTAGTGCCATAAATAACTATAGGTCCCTAACGACACAGTGGAGTAATTGAATGCCAATATTATCAGTCCACAAGCCCATTGAAATTAAATTGACGGTTTCTTTAATACCTACAACTGGAAAAGGTGTAGTAAGTAACGCCAACTGGTGCGATTAATTGAAAATTTAAAATGTTAGACCTCATTGTGAAAGAAACAGTACCCATACCTTCGATTTTTTGACAGATGACTTGATTATTCATGGGTAGTTATTATGAGCAAAGAAATTCGTCAACTATAACATCAATTCTTTTTATTTCATTTCAAAATACAAATTACGTATACCTACTGAATAATATAGTAGGATGCATAAAAACATTCAAATATGTAAAATAGGTATTCCACAAAATACCTACTAAATTTCATCAAGTTTTTGTTGGGAACAAATAAATCATATCCTACTAGACTAGAGATTACAAAATGTATGAACAACGAACAACAAAATAATAATAACCCTCAAAACTGGCGAAATCTTGAATTCCCTACCCAAATCCAAACACCCTAACTTTTCCGTTGTTCTTGAGTAGACATTGTTGGTTGAAACATTAAAGCCTAATTTTTACGAAGGATTCCAATCACATGATTTGTTGAAGATTCGTGTTGTATGATGAGTATTTTTTACAAAAAAATGTGGAGGATGAGTTTATTCAGGGAGTTGCACCCTGGTCCACAATGAAGCACGTGATTTATTGTGACCTTTGAGATGGTGGGGTTTGGGAATGGTTCGTAAACTTCAGGCTCTGTTATAAAATTCGGGGCTGTCACTGTTGTAAGATTGATTGAAAATAGTCTTTTTCTACATTCATGCAAAAAGCAGAACTTTATTGAACTATATTTAGTGGAAAAAGAAGTTCTTTATTGCACTTAGTGCAATGAAGTTTTTATTGCACTCATCTGTCATTCTACTTCAACGTGCTGTCATCATGACAAACATTTTTTATATTCATATTGAAAATTGCACCAATTGTTCATTCACTTTCAACATTGAGGGTAAAAATAAAGTTTGAGTTAAATTGTTCGTAACGTATTAATTCCTGTTTCAATGCAAATCGATATTAATAATAAAGTATTCAAGTTGCGTTTTTCATTTTTCTACACCTAGTGCAGCACCTCAATAAATCATTTTTTGCTTTTTGCATGAACGTAGAAAAAATGTTGTATGCAACTAGTGAGTTCAATTAACATTCACTTTTTGCACTTGTTGCATAAATAACTAATTCAACATGAATTATGGCAATTTCAGATATTATATCTGTCATTGCACATAAGCAATTGTTTCTTTTTTTGAATTTTGTGAAGTTAGCTTTGCACATAATTCCATAAAATGAAGAGATATGGAAGTGATCATCATTTTAGGATTCGAATATGTTATGTAATTTTTTGCGCTATTTCGAATTTTTTCAAGCAATATACCTAAGGTAAAAGTGCACTTATCATGCGATGTGTTTTTTTTTTCGATAATATTTTTTGGTACTTATGTATTTTTGTCTGAAAAACACGAATCTGGTAATGAAAATGTGAACAAACCATTATTTAAAAACTTCACAAACGATAAGATTTCCATCAAGTTTCCGCCTGTCGTTTGGATCGCATATAGAACAATTGGCCCTTGTTTTTTCATAATTGGACAATTTATATATCACCATGTACTTCAATGACAGATTTTTTTCTATATGAAAGTCAACTAGAAATATTATTTTCTTGCGATTTATCCATATTCAGTGAAGAGAAGGAAGAATATAATTCAAAATAATGGCGTGTACAGGATGGCTTGTGTAATGTCATTCAAAAGCAATCTGTTGACAAGTTGACATTTGACATCTCGAATTTGAATTGATTATTGATCAAATGGCCTTCATCTAGTATGATTGTTCACTAAATATGAAAAACCATCGCATGATAAGTGTCCTTTTACCCAATATAACAAGAAAAATGTATTAATACACTAATACAGCTTGTCCCTCTTCAAATTACTCCCTTCTTTATCTCATTTGTTAAATTGTTATGCTGGGTTTGTAGATTCTACTGACTCGCCAATTAGGAATTAACGAACAACAATTATCAATAATAATGAGGATATATATACACAAAACTGATAATAATCATGAATCAGATGTTAAATTATAATGATTGACGCTCCAGATAACGTTAAAAAGTATTGTTGGTCTTCACAATTCATAATTTTCCAACTCTGTAATTATCAATTTCAATGGCATGTATATGAACCTTCATAGACGATTTCTTGTATTCAACATTTCAATTTCTTTGAATTCTTAAATTAGTTGAATCTATAAACCTAGTATTAGTCATACGGTTCCGACTACTTTCTGAGTGGTATTAGTAACCATCAACATGAAAATAATTTTCAGAAACGAACGTTATTTCGGACAGTGTATAAGAAGGGAAGAATCGATTTCACTCCACCATGCCTACAATGTCTCTTGATGAATAACGAATTGATTGGGCTGTAGGAAAATAATTAGTTACCTAGATAATGATATATCACACGACACCTCCACAACTATTTTTTAAAATACTTCATAGATAAATAATAACAAATTCAAGCTGGCAACCATTCGGAAGCTGGAAGAGCTGCCAGGGTTTGGTCAGCAACAGCCGCGAAGAGCTCGTTGGCATATTCGATGAAGATCGGATTGACAGCGTCCAAAACTCGTCTAGGGTTCTCGTTGAAGAAGTCCGAAATCAGGTCGGCTAAAAATCAGATCATTTTTTAAATACTGTGTAGGTTAATCGAGGAGGTGGTACATTCATTATTCCAGATTTTTTGGGATATTCTCTCCTCGTTTCTATAAAATAAAAATATGAATATAATTTCAATATACGTGTAGTAAGGACAAATCAGATGATTTGCCCAAAATGTCACTGCGTTTATAGTATATCTAGTATATTGTTTAACGAGCACGGAATGATAGTGATTTCCTACGAGAATGAAGTAGGAAATTAGCATTCCGTGCAAGTTATACACTATAATTTTTCTACGGCTATAATAGATAACAGCGGCATTTTCGATTTCTTCGTCTTGTAGCCATCTGATTTCCTCTCAAGTAATGCTCATCTATTAGACAGAGCCGTCATTGGTTCACATTTGACATTCCATGAGCGATGAGATTTTTTTTTAAATGATAACACAATATGGAGTCATTATTGTGATATCAGATACGGAAATAATATTGATAACATACAAAGTACCTCATTGACCGTTACCATCGAGACAACTCGATGGTAACGATCGAACACAGTAAAACAAGAGCAATTTTGTGTAATAGCCGTTGAAAAAAGAATTTTCCTATCAGAGAGCCTAAAAGAAAAATTTTCTAGCTTGTAACTCATTTGATTTCCAAGAAAAGTATCAAGAGAAATACGAATTGGCTATTCAAATATCTATGTTTTATGTTGAAAACGGGAGTAGATTCGTTCCCAAAATGAAGCTAAGTGAAAATTTGTTTTTATAGGAAAATTCGTTGAACGCAGTGACATTTTGGGGCAAATCATCTGATTTGTCCTTACTACACGTATATTGAAATAATATTTCACAGAAACGAGGAAAGAAAATCCCAAAAAATCTGGAATAATGAAGATCACTTTTTATTCATTATTCCAAAGCCCATGTAAATATCACCAAAGTTCTGAGTCAGGCAAAACATTAATGATGTAGTTATAAACGTAAAAATGCCATGAATCTCCCTATCATATTCCTTGTTTTATTATATTGGGTTCTCTATTGAGGGGCATTCACTAGTCAGTACATCATACATAATCATATTCTTGATAAGGGTGAGAGTGAGGTAATCCATTATAAAAAATTATATCAATGGAGGAAGGTTTATGAAAAATTGATAATTTATGTGTATCGTTAACTTTTATTTTTGCTATGTGTAAGAAATTGATTGAATTTCATATTTGGATGAACTGTTTTTTTTATGTTCTGGTTCCCACGAAAAGGGATATCCTGTAATGTTCAGAGAACATCGTGAGAACCAAGGGAAATGAGGTAGGAATTGATGTTCTTCTTAAATTTCTGGAGGTTATATGCCTCGGGGAACACCTCCCTTGGCAATGTGTTCCAGAGCCTCGCTGTTCGTTGGATGAACGAGTCTTCGGAAAGAGATGTTCTGCAGGTCTCCAAAGTGACCACGAAGGGTGCGAAGCCTCAACTCGACGGGTTAATCTCGCGGGGACTGCCAAGGTAGGAACAATTGTTGATATTTCAGAAGAACATCGTCCATGAAAATATCTATAAAATAAAGCGAGATCGCCAACTTTTCTACGGTGTTCCAGAGAAGTGAGTAAGTTTGTGAGCAAGGCATCACCCACGAGACGAATTGCCCTTTTTTGGACAGAATCCAACAGTTTCAGGGTATGTTTGGGTGCTGCACTCCAAATATGGGAACAGTATTACAGGACAGGTCGGATCTGTGCCTTATAGATCATGAGCAGCTGACTGGAAGAGAAATAGCTCCTGGCCCGAAACAAAAAACCAAGTTTTTGGGATGCACTTTTAGCAATTGATCTCACGTGATTTTTCCAAGAAAGGTTATTGCTGATAGTTATACCAAGCATCGAAATGGATGTCTTCAAAGGTATGGTTACTCCTGACAAGCTTATGTTGGGCACAGTGAGATCGGCTTTTCTAGAGAAAAGGCATGCTTGTGTTTTGTTTGCATCGGAATCTACCAAGTTATTGGATCCCCATTCGAGAATTGTTGCCAATAGTCAATATTTATGTTGTCAACATTTCTTCCTCGTTCGTTTCTGATTTGCCTGACTGGTATTGGAGCCCTGGAAGAGAAGATGGTATGGAGGGTATACTACCATCCGCGAAGCTGTGTACTGGACATGAAGTTGCTTCCAACAAATCGTTGATATGGAGTAGAAATAGTGTTGTTGTTAGAATTGATCCTTGCGGAACACCAGCATTTATGATAAAAGAGTCAGATAAAACTCCGTCGACCACTACATGGAGAGACCTGTTTGAGAGAAAACTAGCTAGCAGAGAACATAGCTGGGAAGGCAAGCCATAAGATTGAAACTTGGCTAGGAGTCCATGGTACCAGACTCGATCGAATGCCTTGGAGATTCAAGTGCCACGGCTAAGGTTTCACCATATTTTTCAATAAATTGCTGCCATATATGTGAGACGTGAGCGAGATCACCAGTTGATCTCTTAGTACGGAAGCCATATTGCCTATCGTTGATAATACATGAATGTTCCAGGTATCTCATGAGCTCGATTTTGATAGTTTTCTCCATGATCTTTGAAATAATAGACAGCAGTACGATCGTTAGGTCCTTTTGCCTTTTTGGGGAACTGGTTGTACTCTTGCAATTTTCCAGTTGGACGGGAATATCCCCAACTTTGATTATTATTTCTGATGATAGGATAAACTTCTTCTATCACATTTTCTCGGAGTTTCTCAGAAAAAGAATATTGATGTCTATTAATCAACGTATATCCCTTATTGGTTTCAATCTGTTTTATGATATTGGGTGTTTATTGAGGGACATTCACTATCCTGTATATCATACATCATCATGTTGATAAGGGTGAGTCAATCCATTATGAATATTGATATCAGTGTGGGAAGGTTTATGAAGAATTTATCATTTTGTCAAATCTGAGATATTTTATTTCCATGGTGAATTTTATGAATTGTATTGATATATTGATAAAATGTATCGAATATTCTATTGGTTTCTCTTGAGCATAGTATTATGTCATCTATGTATCTATACCAATTCAAACATTGTTTTATTACTGGGCTCGATTTGTTTTCCATAATGAAAAGCAAAGTATTCTCTACTATCAAATTGAAAGAAATGTTTTCTGCTTGAGACATATCGACAAAAGGTCTAACATTTCTTTTTTAGTAATCGGCATTTGTCTGTTAATTCCTCAACTGAAATTTTATGGGTCAGTTTATTATACCAGTATTCTACTTGAAGAAGCAAGTGTATTTGCGAAATATAATACGTATTCTTAAGAGATTTCCATCAAGACCGCCGAGTCAATACAAAATCTCAATTTTATTGGTGGAAAACGGGTCAAGAAAACATTAACACACTATACATATTTATAAACACGAGAAAATATGTTTCAATAAAGTTGAAAATATACAAGGTGTTTCATGAAAAGATAAATTTAGTTTGTTTTCAATTCGGTGATTTGGTAACGTAGTACCGATGAAACTCTACAACCTCGATATCTGGAGATTTTTTCCACCTCGTACAGTTGAAGATGTAGGGAGGGGGGGGGGGGGGGGTTCTAAAAATGGATGTACCAGAAAAATCTTGGGCAATTTGAACAGGCGAAGAATTCATTAGGAAAATGGCACACCTAAAGAATTTGAATAAATAGGTACTAATTTCATCTGACATTCGGATTTCCATATTAGGACATAACAAGGCATTAATTCAGTAGGTCATGAATCGTTTCTGCGTGTTAACAAAATTATAGATAGGTACGCATGAATATGAATAAAGAATCCGTTTCATAATATTTAGTTTCCACAAAATACCTACTGTAAATTGTTCGAGGCAAATCTATTGCATAATTGAAAACTCTTTTTCGTTTTTCTCACCTGCGTATTGGTATTCCTTATCTGAGGAAGTCAGCTGTACATGTCCACCGCCTATTGTGATTTTGGCATTGAGCTTGTTGACCTTGAAGTAATCAACTCCTTTTCTCTTGTAAGTTTTCAGGCTGCCCTTGACAAACATCTGGGTATCAGCTGAAAATGAAAAAAAGGGGATTGCTATAAACTAATTCAACGAGAGGTAATTTTTCATCTGGATGATCGTCAATACCCAAAAATAAATCGAAGATCGTCAATGTAGAATCAATTAGCGATATAAAATGAATTTGTACAGATCCAAAATCTAAGAATCAAGCTTTCCTTCAAGTCCTAGTACGAAAAAGAAAAAAAAAACAATACTTTGAATCATATAGGAACTGAAAGTTGCTGCTTCTGCTTACCTATACCGCCAAAGAAAAATCTATGATGATAGAGAAAAATTAAAGGCACTGACGGCACTGTTTTTAAAGTAAATAATATTACAGCAATATAAATAAATATCAGAGTCAATATATTTTTTCCAAATAGTGAAAATATTTTGCAGTTATGCAGGTTGCAAAATGTAAAAAGCCAAGTCAAATATTTTTTTATGATATAGTGGACATATTTTGAAGATATCTCGGACAATATTCATTTAGGATAGGAACTTTTCACCTCAAATTGAAGAAAAGTATCTGGAAAAAAGTTTCTCGGTCATATTGTAACTCACTGTGTATATAGGTATGCACACAGTAGGATAACAATCTATTATCATCTAGGTCTCACCTCAATAGAGACAAAATTCTTGAAACATTTTTAACAAGAATGTAAAAGTGAAAGTAGATCATGGGTCACTTAATATACTTGTTATCTGATAATTGATTAGTAAATTGCAGGAAGATATATCAAATATTTCGAGATTACGAGTGTTCAATCGATGTTCTCGTATCTGTAATAATAGCCAAATCAAAGAATCACATATTATTAACCTATACAGTGTGTCCCACTTACCATGCTCACCATGGGTATCTTTTTAACGGTGAGAGATACGAGGTCGGTTAAATGACACCAAATGTGGAGTTTGTCAAGGCCAACTATAATGTGAAAAAATATTTTGATAAAATCTATTCGTTTTTGTTTTGTACGCAAAAAACAGATTTTGATCATTTTCATGTCCCCTCCGTAACTTCTTTATTTATGAAAATATTCAAATAGGAATTTCACATTCTCATGGCAGTTTTTCCAAGTGAATTCGAAAAAAATATGAAATTTATACCAACTCGTCTAGAATTTGAGATATCAGCACCAACTTTAGTCTTTCAAATGTAGGTCATAGCTCACTATGACTTAGTTACAAATAACTTTTTTTTCTCTCACAGATGATATGTCGCAGTAATAGTTTTGTGTTGATAACAACGGAGTTATCGTCATTTATACAAAAACAAAAAATTATTTGGAAGCCGCCATCTTGAATTTATGAATTTTAACAAAAAAATCAAAAACCCCTACTTACCAATTTGGAATGGAATTGGACCAAATCTTGTCCGCCATCTTGGAGCAGCCATTTTTTTTTAATTTCAACAAGAATTCCATAACTTCGATTAACTTGAAATTTGACAGGTGTTCGTAATTTCGATGACAATACATTATGGAATTTTTGTTGAAATTAAAAAAAATGGCTGCTCCAAGATGGCGGACAAGATTTGGTCCGATTCCATTCAAAATTGGTAAGTAGGAGTTTTTGAGGTCGAAGATCATGATTTTTTTGTTAAAATTTATAAATTCAAGATGGCGGCTTCCAAATAATTGTTTGTTTTTGTATAAATGACGATAACTCCGTTGTTATCAACACAAAACTATAACTGCGACATATCATCTGTAAGAGAACAAAACCTGACCTACATTTGAAAAACTAAAGTTGGTGCTGATATCTCAAATTCTAGAAGAGTTGGTATAAATTTCATATTTTTTCCGAAATCACTCTGAAAAACTGCCATGAGAATGTGAAGTTCCTATTTGAATATTTTCATAAATAAAGAAGTTACGGAGGACACACGAAAATTATCAAAATCTGTTTTTTGCGTATAAAACAAAAACGAATAGATTTTATCAAAATATTTTTTCACATTATAGTTGGCCTTGACAAACTCCACATTTGGTGTCATTTAACCGTCCTCGTATCTCTCACCGATAAAAAAATACCCATGGTGAGCATGGTAAGTGGGATACACTGTATATGTTTGATAACGTTTTTATGACGAAGAATGATATTGTGATAGCTCTAGAAAATTAACCAGCGTGGAGAGTTGTTGTTTTCTGTTATAGATATTTCAATAATGATTTTCTTATTTCTCAAAAAAGAGTTATTACGGGTGTTTGGTAAGTTAATTGTCATTATAATATAATACTAGTAGCTTCGTGGAAATCCATAGCAAATGTAAAAACTCCACAAACGATGAAATTTCTACAAAATTCCTGATCACACGACATGTTACGCTAACACAGTAGCTCCATCAGGTGAAATACGGTACAATGAAATAAAAAATATAAAAAAATTCTCTACATTTTTTTTATTTCATTGTACTAGTATTTCACCTGATGAAGCTACTGTGTTAGCGAAACATGTCGTGTTATTTAGAATTTTGTGGATATCTCGTCTTCTGTGAAGTTTTTACCCTTGCACTCATATCTTGAATTCCTTGAAACTTCATTTCACAAAACGAATTATTTGATTTTCAAGTCGAGTAATCAAAACGATTCAGCGTAAGATATAATTATTGTAACGCATTGTTTATTTTCACTATCTTTCTATGTACATACAAATTCATGACACTCGACAGCATAATGTGCAAAAACATTGCATATTATATTGTTATGAGCTTATTACACTGATCCCAAGGTAAATAGGTTCCAAATGATATACTATGAAGTGAATAATATTACGTGAATAATTATTTACCAAAGTTTTTCTATTCGTTTTCGGACTTTATTCTATTACCTGATGAATTATAATCAAGTTTGTGCAAATGCTATATGGATGCAATGTGTGTAACTTACTGAAATTTCCTTGAAAATGGCCACTGCTCTGTAATGGTACTATGAGAAGTTGTCCAAGAACTTCATAGTCCATATCCAAGAACATCCAAGGAACAGTCAATCTGATTTCTCCTGTATGTTTTTGTGGGTCAGCCCTGCAAATGATAAACTATATGATATATCATCTGAAATCAATCTATGGATAAACCGAGGCAAGGTGTTCTTGGAAAATGTGCATTTTCAAAAAATTGCTGAAACATTTTCCAGTTCGAACTACATACAATTGTACATCACCACCAGTGTTCTTCTGTCTATTTTTAAAATATGACTCCTTTTGTATTAGAGTCGAGAAATCAGGGCCAGTCACTGAAACTCTATACTCTATAGTATTATTATACAGGGTGGTCCAGAATGATTGTCTCCAGATAACTCTGAGGCTGCTAGTACACCCAAAAACAAAGATATTATTCTTCATAAATTTATTTCCGAGAATGAATAATGGGATAATAATTAATATCGATTATCCTGCCATATGCTTTGTCACCTCTGGAATATGAAGTTCGTAATAATTCTAATTGAGATCTATCTAGACACCCGTTTACATGCTATCAGGCAAACCCACTATTTACTCAAGGCTATTTTTACTTTATAATTTTTCTGACATTGTTCGTATGTGTCTATGTACATACATACAGGATATTGTTTGGACAGGAAATTATTTTTTTCAATAATTTTCGAAGAATTAGTATGAAACTAAAAAATCATTCGTTCCGATATTTTTATTGCATTGCTTGCAACTTCTTTTGATTCTCAAAATTCGATTGGAGTATCCATCGATTTCCTAATAATTAAACTTGAAGACTAATTATATTTCCTTTTACAGAAGTTGCTGGTGATGATATTAGTTTTTCGCTAAAAAAATGCCTATTTATTTTTCAATTTTCAATCAATCATAGTTAGCCGTGTAATAGTGGAATGAAAGAACTGAGAACTCAGGAATATACAGGGTGTATCTAAATAACACCGAAAAAATTCAAGGGGTGATTCCTTGTGATATTTTAGGAAATAAAGTTCATACAATAAACATGTGTCCTAACTTGCTTCGTTTTCGAGATAATGGGTATTAAAATTTCCATGAAATAGTTATTTATTATACAAGGGAAAAAAGTTGTAGATTTTAGCTCCAGGTTGTGTTGTCTCCCGACGCGTAGCGGAGGGAGACAAAAAACCGTGACCTAAAATCTAATATTTTTCCCGTGTATAATACACTATTTTTTTCTGTGACAGAAGAAAGGATGAATCAAAATTGAGAAGATATTACATTTTTTTGAAATCTGAAAAATATCGACGTGAAATTTTAAGTTTTTAACAGTATAGGGACACCTGCGTTGTAGGCATCTTTATCATTCTTTTGAAGTAATCAAATATCTGATGTCACTTCTGTCAGTCTAATTCTGTGATGTGATTTCAAAAAATTGCGAATATAGTGGTTGTTTAGTAATAAGTATACGTAACCGCCAAGTCGAATGGAAGATGAAAGGACTTGCAGTTCTTTCTCGGAGACGGTATTATTGACTCATTTTTCGGAACTATAGCACAACAAAAGCCATCGACAGTGTATATATATGTGGTATATATCCGGGAAAAAAGTACTCACTTTTTTCCCACGGGAAAAAAGTAATTTATGAGAAGTGACATTTTATAACCTGCCAACAGAGATGAAATGCCAAACTTTTTTCCCGTCACAGAAAAAACAACTTTTTTATTCTCTGTGTGATTTTTGTATCTAGCTTGGTTTTTGAGGAAACAATAAAAATTCGATTCAACTCCAAATTTTAATGTAGGTGTTTTCAAGACTTCCATTGAGATTACTCAATAACCCCAATTAGAATCATTTTGAAATTTTGGGGCTTTCTCAGTCTCCATCCATTCTGAGTTTTGGCACCATGAAAGCTCATACAGAGGGGTTATAAATAAAAACAATTAATACCTTTCAACTTCAACATCCTGTATCTCAAAAACGGATCAGATACACGCATTGACTACATTTTGCCAAAAAAATTACCGAATTGGGTAAGTAAATCTGACCGGTAAGTGTACAGTGTACATTTCATTGTATTCTAATTTGAGAATTTGTTTCGAATTGTTTTAGTTTTGACTCACTTCAAGTCATCGAGGATGGTGTTTCTGAAGCCGGTGACGTTGATATTCTTGCAGATGGCATTGATGCTGACCAAATCGTTGATGGTCCTGTTCACTGACATGATGGGCAGCAGGAAGGGATCGAATGGGGGGAAGTTGAGTTCTGGTATGCCGTTCAGGAAGTGTTGCTTGGAATCCTCGAAGCTCTCCAAGATGCATTTTGTGTAATTGGGATCTGACTTGCTGCACGAGTACTGCTTCAAGTAGTCCGCTGTTAAAACGATATAGCTTATAGTTTCAGAAATACCAAATGGTTTACTGGGAAGCTGCGCATTGAGCAGAAGCGTTTTCATGCGAGCAATCCACCCGATATTTTCAGGTTGCATTAAAGGCAAAGTTGATAATATCAATTGCAACTATACTATTTTAAATTCACGTTGAAGAAGTTGAAACGAAATAGTCTTTATGCATTTGTTTTATTTTTTTTAAGAAGCATGTTTTAAAATATCAGTAGAGAAACCAAACATGTAATATATCTCTTCTTCAGTGATTTCTCCATACTAATAGGCATCTTACGTCATATTATATCATAAGCGGTGTTGTGAAGATTACATAACTTGTAGTACAACTGGGTTTTTGTGTCACTGAATAATATATTTTATAATTTTAGTATGGCATTTCATTATGGAATTGAATACAGACTGTCCCATTTGAAAATCAAATGATGGGGTCGTTTCTGATCTCGAATGATTCAGAAGTTACAGCACTGGCCATTTTTGTGCACTTCCCTGTAAGCAAAATTTTCAATAATAATTTATTTCGAAATTCAACTTGGACATTGAGTTTTGCTTCAAAATAGATGAAAAATGACCTACTATTTTTTGTGCAGTTTCTGTAGAAACTCGCATTTTTGGGTTCAAAATCATGACGAAGGTTTTGTGAAGTTGGTTAGTTGTTGTCCGGTAACTGTGAACAATTCCTGATAATTTTGCAAAAAATCAGCCCTAAAGGAGTTACTGGACGCTGTCCAACATGATGTTCGTCTCTTGAATAATTATCATATTGGTGGTTTCTAATATCATTCCAAATTTGGTTTGAATCGCATGACTATAACTTGCTATAACTGGGACAAATGGGGAGCAGTGAACGTGATACACGCTGTACATAGAATTATTATTTGCTCAACTCCTTTAATTTTGTCGCAAGGTCTCATTTGAAACAAAGTCAGTCATGGTCCCAATGAATAACATTCAAAACTACCTACTACAGGCAACATTAAATGTTATAACCTGTTTTACTCAAGGATGATCAACATTAATTGTAAGATTAATTCACTATTCATGTATTATTTCTTATATCTTCACGATAGTGGAACTACATGTGTAGGTAAAAGCATTATAGAGGAGTACATTTAGATCGAAAGAGACACTCTTGCTTAAAATAATAAAATCAACATCTCTGGTCATCTTATATACTTTGGGGGGTTTGTATTATCTTTGGTAATACCCTTTAGTATATTAAGACTAGATTAGTGTAATGTGAATTCTCCTTTTCACAATTTTCTGGAGAATGTTTGTAAATGATTCAAACGTTTATTATTAACAAATTTATTTCTTTTGAGGGACCTTTGATGTTTTTCACGTATAAAGTTACAAGCATAAAAAGCAAAATTATTCGGAATACAGAAGTAAAATAAATATGTTGTATTTAAGTCAAGTGTAGGTACGTTTTTCGGGATATTCTCTAAAAATTTCCGTCGATAGTATTTTTTTTATAGAAACCCTGTACCTATCAGGATCAGCTGTTCTCATTTACTTTTTAGATCAGGTTGTGATATTTTGGTTATATTATGTATTATTATGTTTAGTTCTGAAAACTTTCAAGATAGGTAGAAAAATACAGGGTGTCAATTTGAAAACTTCCCACCCTCAATATCTCCCTCCAAGTCGATAATATGGAAAAACGAAAAGACAGGTCGATTTTATTTTCGAGGGGGACATGGTTCTAAAATATTTTCAGCCCCGCGGCGTTGCCGCTTCTAACGAAAAGAAGCAACAACTTTGTTATTTCAAATGGAACACCCTGTATTTTATTGCATTTTTAGATTCTCACTGAAAAGCTGATTTCATCAATGTATCACACCTGGGGTCTAGCAGGAATGATTACAGAGATATAGGGTGTTCAAAATCGAGATTTTACAACTTTAGGATTTTTTTGAGTCGAAACTATTCATTATTGGTCAAAACGGCTTTTATGTCCCTATCTCAACTTTTGATTTACTATCTACTGACATTTATTTGAAACAAATACAGGGTGGTTCAAGATTCAGACTTGTGATCACCCTGTATTTGTTTCAAATAAATGTCAGTAGATAGTAAATCAAAAGTTGAGATAGGGACATAAAAGCCGTTTTGACCAATAATGAATAGTTTCGACTCAAAAAAATCCTAAAGTTGTAAAATCTCGATTTTGAACACCCTATATCTCTGTAATCATTCCTGCTAGACCCCAAGTGAGATACATTGATGAAATCAGCTTTTCAGGGAGAATCTAAAAATGCAATAAAATACAGGGTGTTCCATTTGAAATAACAAAGTTGTTGCTTCTTTTCGTTAGAAGCGGCAACGCCGCGGGGCTGAAAATATTTTAGAACCATGTCCCCCTCGAAAATAAAATCGACCTGTCTTTTCGTTTTTCCATATTATCGACTTGGAGGGAGATATTGAGGGTGGGAAGTTTTCAAATTGACACCCTGTACATATATTCAATAATAGAGAATTATAATAATTGTAAAAAACTTGATAAACTATAAGATATCCAGAAAGTTAGGTTGATTTGTTGTACGAGTATCTCACTTGCTACTGTGTTATAGCGAATCATGGCGTGTTATCAATAAGAGTTATCTGAAAATCTCACATTTACTATGGATTTTTATCTACATATTCTCCAGTTGTATATCAGAAAGGATCAATTGTATTTCATAATAGTCAATTGAATTTCAGAAAGCATCAATTGAATTTCAGAATAGGCTCTTGTATTTCAGAAAGCGTCAATTGTATTTCAGAATATTCAATTCAATTCCAGAAAGCGTCAATTGTATTTCAGTATAGTCAATTGAATTTCAGAAAGCTTCAATTGTATTTCAGAAAATATCAATTGAAATTACAGTTTCTGCTTTCTGAAATACAAGTGACTATTCTGAAATACAATGGGCGTGTACACCTTGGTAGAACTTTTAACTCAAACCATGTTTATAATGATCCTTTTATACATAAATAATGATTGACGACATAATTCGATCGAAAAATCAACTGGAATGTTTTATTTTTGGACATAAATAATAGTACCTTCTGAAAACGGACCCTCTTATGACGTAGAAACCTCATCTCGCCAAAGTTAAAAGAAAATACCAAACGCCCGACGGAGACTGAGGCAACTGATATATTAATTCTTTCAACTGTGTTCTCGCGCTAATTCACTCTGTCAGAAATCATGTATCATTCATCTCTGTCTGGAATAGTCTTGTTCCAGTATTAGGGTTTTGACGTCACATCATCGCCTCGTTTTCAGAGGTCCGAAAAATCGGGGATTTCAATAATTTTTTATAAAACGTAGGGAGGTCTGGGTGAGTTCTATCGAATTATGAAATACATTTTTTTTGTGATATAAGCCCATTGAAGCATTCTGAAATTCAATTGAAGCTTTCTGAAATTCAATTGACTATTCTGAAATACAATTGACGTTTTCTGAAATTCAATTGACGCTTTCTGAAATACAAGTGACTATTCTGATGTACAATATAGACGTTTTCTGAAATTCAATTGACGCTTTCTGAAATACAAGTGACTATTCTGATGTACAATAGACGCTTTCTGAAATTCAATTGACTATTCTGAAATTCAATTGACTATTCTGAAATACAATTGATGCTTTTTGAAATAGTAGTGACTATTCTGAAATACAATTGACGCTTTCTCAAATTGAATTATCACTTTCTGAAATACAACTGGAAAAATTGTAGTAACGACCGAGTTATTAAAAAAAAAGAATCATCATTTTTAACTTTCAACTAGAGGTAGATTGATAGGTACATGTACTCAAGTTTTTTCATTTGTTATCATAGAGTTATGGTAAAAGATCCCAAATGCAACCAGAGATTATACACACGCAACCTAGATTTTGAAAAAAATCAGAAATACTCACGTAAAGTTTTACATTGTGCCAATTGCCACAGAGCACAGCACACCAGCAGTGTATATTTCATGGTTGTATAATAAAAATTGAATAATAAACTTCGGTATGGCTTCACCTTCGCTAATATATCGGAGATTTCGCCATGTACCTATCAAGCTACCACCACTACCACAATCTCCAATATACAAAATCGCAGGTATTTCAAAGTACAGCATACAGGGTGTGTTCTGGTAACGTACGAATTACGCATCAATGTAGTGACAGCACCCATTAATTTGGAACCCTGTGATCCTATGGCTATCTTTCGAAAATGTTTTTCTAACAGATTCGTATTGATCAAAACTGATCAATTTTATCCTTACCACCCTCACATGAAATTTCAATATCGTACTATTTGTGCTCACAAGCTATTTTCAATTTCAGGAAATCCTACATTACATTAAGGATGACCCTTCGTTCATCAATTGAAATAGTTATTTATTATACAAGGGAAAAAAGTAGTAGATTTCAGCTCCAGGTTGTGTTGTCTTGTGAGACAAAAAACCGTGAGCTAAAATCTAATATTTTCCCCGTGTATAATACACTATTTTTTTCTGTGACAGAAGAAAGGACGAATCAATATTGAGAAGATATTACATTATTTTGAAATCTGAAAAATATCGACGTGAAATTTTAAGTCTTTAACAGTAGGGACACCTGCGTTGTAGGCATCTTTATCATTCTTTTGAAGTAATCAAATATCTGATGTCACTTCTGTCAGTCTAATTCTGGTATTATTGACTCATTTTTCGGAACTATAGCACAACAAAAGCCATCAACAGTGTATATGATATATATATGATATATGTATATCCGGGAAAAAAGTACTCACTTTTTTCCCACGGGAAAAAAGTAATTTATGAAAAGTGACATTTTATAACCTGCCAACAGAGATGAAATGCCAATCTTTTTTCCCGTCACAGAAAAAAAAACGTTTATTTTATATATTATAATATACAGTGTGAGTCAGAATATGACCGACATATTTCGTATACGGATTCCTTGGCTCATTTTGAGGTGAAAAGTTCTCATCATCGTATGTCCTAAAATTCAGAGATACCAGAGTGTCCAAAGTACGAAAAAAAAAAAGGTTTAGGTATATTAATTCATTCGGAACCCCTGGTGTGCTATTTCACATTAATTAATGTAATCAAATGGAGTTTTCATTATTAAATTTCGTTAAAGAGTATAGCGTACCTATAGTAACGGTCGTATGTTTCCTTAATTTTTTTTTCTTGGACAGATGAATTGTCAAATTGATGACGATACCCAACAGAAGTAGTAACACTAGACAAGCCTAAACGTAGAGGTTCCTGAGATATTTTCGAAAATCTAAAATTTAGTCTTTAGCAAATTGAAAAAGAAAAAGGACCGTTGTATTGTGTTACTTGACCCCATGTACAATTTCAAAATTTCGAAGGGGTTGATATGTATGGCAGAAGGTTCACTGATAAAAAGGATTCCTTGGATTGAAGGAATTTGACTTTACCTCAAGGGCGCCAAGCATTTGAATAGGGCGGAATGCATGGACATTTCGACCCAATAATCCAAAAACTTTGAGGCAAGCGCCTAAGTTTCTTTAGCATGAAATTATATAAATTCGAGGCAAGAAACTTTGGTTTTGCCCTAATAACTAATGCTTTTGGCTTAAAATCGTAGTTTTCCCAACTTATGGGGAATGTTGAGGTAAATGCCATGATTTCTTTAGCCCAATGATATATGAGTTTATAGCAAAATACCCTGAACTTTTCATAATGAACAATGATTTTTGGTCAAAATCATTAAGATATCATTTCAAAGTTATGAGATTTGAGATGAAAGATATGGTATTATTGAAATATACCTAGGGCTTCGCTGTAGATACAGCAAATGTTTGATCCAATATCTTATGGTCTTGGAACAAAATGTATATGATCTTGATGTAAATTCTCTGGAGATTTCTTGAGAGGATACTCCTGTGAAATGTTGAAATAATAATTAGAATTTCAATTGATTTCTATAAAAATTTTGAGGATCATAAATATTATGAATCCTTAACAAAACCCCATTATTGGTTTGTTGATATTAGATTTAGTTCTGATGTTCTGACGAAAAAACGTTTTGCATTGGTTGAAATATACTTGAAAATCAAAATATCCCATCAACTTGTTTTATCTTCTTATTTATCCTTGGGCGAAGAATTGTGGAAATCCTGAAAAAACAACCATTGATAAAAAACTCATTTATTTTATAAAATAGCACATGAAACATTTTATATGATGATGAAATACCTATCTACTGAAATAAGTATAGGTGGGTACTTACTTTGAAATGTTTGCATCATATGGCTCAAACGCCACGCATCTAGAAGTTTTTCAAACTCCACTGAATCGCTCATGATCCACAGCACAACGCAACACGACAAATATGGCCGCTAAAATGCATTGTCAACGGGACGGTACTCGGCACGATCTGTGGCACGATGCAGAAGAAGAAGGATGATGGGAAGATGGGGTCGACCCATGCATTGCGCATGACTCAAACGGAGTCGGTATGTTTTCGGTTAACCTCGGGTGGACTCGATCTCATCAACGGTCTCAACCGAACGATTTCAGATCTTGTATCAAAGTCTTGTGATCTTGAGGTAGATGCAAACCAAGCAGGACTAGAGACAAGGTCGATGATGTTCTCTCAAAAGCGTTTACAGCCAAAAGATTCAAAACCTTATTACAAAAACAGCAATAATCTGCAGATGAGAGCAATGTATTTGAAAGGAAGAAATTGTCTTTGTCAGGAGAGAAAAAAATCTAAAAGCATCATTCTTTTGTCACCAATCGGGTATTTTTATCAGTGTTGAAAGCTGACTGAAAAATTTTACGAGAAATAAGGTAATTTCGCGCACGAGTTGCAAACTAGTTATTTTTGTATCTAGAGCGCGAAATGCTACTTTGGTGATCGAGATCTGATTTTTTTAACGAGGCTGAACATTCAGAAATAAATGATTTCGAAGATGTTTTTTCGATTGAGGACCATAAAGTTGAAATATAAATATTTCATATATTTTACATAACAATGCGCGAAGTAGGTACTTCGCGCACTGTTTTACTTCGCGCATTGTTTTGTACAAGGTATCATTGTAACGTAGGAAACTGAAAAAAAGTGTCACTTCGCAATTTGTTATCAATGCGCGAACCTTGTCATTTTTTGACGTTTGTAGAAAAAAATGTTTTTCTACAAACGTCAAAATATATAGTTCTAAAATAGTAATATGCTCAAGTTAATGTAAAACATAGTGTTGAACTGACTTAAAAGGCCTTGATAATTCTTAAACATTCAGAAATAAATGATTTCTTGGATGTTTGCTTGATTGAGGACCATGAAGTTTGAATGCAAAAATCTCATATAATTTACATACAATGCGCAAAGTATGTATTTCGCGCATCGTTTTACTTCACGCACTGCTTCGCACATGGTGTCGTGGTAACGTAGGAAACTGTAAACAAGTTTCTCTTCTCAAATTGTTATCAATGCGCAAACCTTATCGTTTTTTGACGTTTGTAGAAAAAATTGATAAGAAAAATCAGCCTGTCCGAGAATTTATACATCCCCATTCCATATACGGGGGGGGGGGGGGTGTAAAAACTTTGAATTATTTTAAATGGAACATATTATATTTTATTGCATATCTTGAAAGAGTGATTTTTGCTGATTTCAAAAATATATAATTTTCATACATTCCATGGAGTAATATTGGGTGAATCAAAGGAATAAAACTTGGGATAAATTGAAACTTTTGTCATAAATCTATCTAATTCAACTCAACTTGAGTTGAAACCAGGAGCATATTATCGAAAAGTTGACCTGGAAGAAAACTCCCATTTGAAAAAAAAATAACATTTTCACATATGGAATAGGGATATGAATTAAAATTAAAAATTTTGTTCTGAAGTTTTCAACATCTTAATTAGTTTTGGGGATATTGAGTGTTGAAAGCGTGAAATCCATAGTCAATCACCCTGTACATAATAAAATAAAAATATTCGTATTGCATATTTTCATCCGATTTGGGACGGTTCTTTCATTGGTTATGCAAGAAATATTGGGAAACGGTTTTTGAAGATTCTTCAAGGCAGTTTACTTGATGGATTTATGATACGGTTATTGATCGAAATTCGCAATATTAAAAACAATGATAAAATGATAATGATAATAGCTAATAATAATTTTGTTTGGAGGTAGTTCTGAATCCTACGGATGTTCTTGAGGTTTAGATTCTAGGATCGAAAAAAAATTTATGATTTTTTCCATCTATTGGAGCGCACGAAAGGAAGTTCTTATAATGTTCGAAGAACATCGTTGCTTACCTAGGGAGGTTAGGGAGAGGAGGTAGGTGTTGGATTTTTTTTAACTTTTGGAGGTTATAAGTTCTTGGGAATACTTCTATTGGCAGATAATTTCAAAGCATTGCCGTTCTATAAACGAACGAGTTTTGGTAAAGTGTTGTTCGACATATTCATTATAATTCACATTTTTTAGCTAAGCCTCACGAAAATCCAGTAATTGAGAACATGTTGAATTTTTATAACTCTAATAGACTCCCTTATATTTCTTTCGTTATCAGTCCTGTACAGGGTGATTCACCATAAATGTCCCCCTCTCTAGCTCAGTTAGTTTTCAACCGATTTCAAAATTTCAAATATCATCTCAAATGATTTTCGATAAAGTTTTTTTCCGCTACATCAAAAAATACAGGGTGCTCGGAACAAACGATCTGCAGGGTACTATTTGATTTTTTTAAATAAAACACCCTATTTTTCATTGTATTTTTAGATTCTCCCTGAAGAGCTGATTCGATCAATGTATCACACTTGGGGTCTAGCGAGAATGATAACAGAGATATAGGGTGTTCAAAATCGAGAATTTTCAACTTTAGGATTTTTTTGTAACGAAACTATTCATTATCGGTCAAAACGGCTTCCATGTCCGTATCTCAACTTTTGATTTATGCAATAAATTGGCATTTAATTTTTTCCATGGAAATGAAGCAAATTATCAAAACAATTCAGGAGACCTAAATATTGTATTTTCAGTTGGTCAATAGGATATGGAGATACAAAATTTAAAAAAATCATCGGCGCACATTTTATTGACAATAATATTCGGTAGGTTGCCCCCAGGACGCCACTGGATCTCATAATTCCAATTAAATTATGGCTATATCAGCCCCTCATGACAAAAAATATCATTGCCAAGTTTCAAGAAAATCGGGACATTTGAGATAAAAAACCGATCTTTTTTGAAAATTTTAACACACTGTATGTTGAAAACTATGCATTTACGGACCCGCGTACATATAACCTGAATTTCTAATTTATCATATAGAATCACCCTCCTGTTTTTTTGCGCGTAATTTCTGGACACCCTGTATATATTATCGAATTGTTATTTTGAAAATCGGTCTACAGATTCCGAATTAGGAGGGTGTAGATATCCAAAAAAATGTATTCCTTTTTTATTTTCTAGTCCGACTAATGGTTGATATGGCGCTGAATTTTTATCATAAATGCAAGACTTCAAGTGTCGCATGAATATGGAAAAATATCTCACCCACTTTGCCTGAAAATTTAGTCTAATATATCGTGAATTTAATTATGGTTATCTGTTGAGAGATATTTTTACCACGACGTTGATTGTAGATAGAATTATTATTACTCAGCCTGATTCAAATATTTACTTACCGTGAGTCGTGTTTGTGTTGTGCCAGCCAATAAAATTATATTGCACTTTATATTAGAACGAATCTAGAAAAGTAAGAATTCACTTGCGTTCAGAATAATTGTAGATCAGCATCAGAAATGTCGTCCCTGCAGGCTAGTGATGTGTTTAGATTCCTTATTGGTATGTATGTACCTACGTCATCAAAATGGATAAGCGATTCGAATTTGTTTTTCTCCTAATATACTACTCAAAATTATTTAAATTGTCAAGAAAAACAATATCGAACATAATTTCTTTGCCTACTGCGATTACAAAAGCTCCAGCAAAATTGAAGAAAACGAATTCGGCATTTTTTGACAAAAATTTTGATGACATTCGGTTTGGACTAGTCACAAATACTTCTATATCGATTTTCAAAACAATATCTCATTACAATTTTTGAATGATTGCATTTTTCGAGTTACCGGAGTGTATAATAATTCTTTAAATGATATCAGGATGAGATTATCTGCTCGAAAAGAAGATAATTCTGACTAGTACCTATATTATGAGAACATTTTTTTTCAAATCTCCCTGGGAATACAAAATTATGTATCTACAGGGGTGAGATGGACCAAAACGTAACACACTGTAGACATAGAAAAGAAATGTAGATGATTCATTGCGTATAATCTAATTTTACGTAGAAAAATAGAGTGAAAAAACTGGTGTAAAAATATAGTCTTCGCCCCATTCCATTTATCATTTCAATTTCGAAAACTATACATTAAAGTCAATTCAAGGCTTTTGATTATTCAAAGGCTATATTTATTTAGTAATTGTTCTCTATTTTTTTCAGTTGGATGCCTCATCCTCCATAGAATGTGCCTTGCAGACATCAACACGTTTTTCCCCCAGATCAAAGGAGATTTGACTTTGGTTACATGGGCACACGCTGTGAACAATGCATCTTACTTGAATTCTATTTTGAATAATGGTCAGTATGAAAAACATTTCTTATGAAGTTCTTCTCATACAGGGTGTAAAAGTAAAATATTCAGGTGAAGTTTTTCTGAGACAATTTCAAGAAAAAAGTCTACATAAACTTATGTCCGGAAATTCTTCATTTCGGAGATACAGGGTGTTGAAATACGAAGAACAAATTATCTTTTGATAAACATTTCATAGGAAAAAAGTAGTTCAATTTTACGAGACCTTCCACATACTTAGTTTTGTAAAGTTCTCAGCAACTCCACTTAGCGCCCATTTATTATTTATCTCTTGGAGCGAACGAAAGGCAATTCCTTCTGGAACATCGTACGTACCTAGGAGCTAAGTAACTTTGGTTGGGGTCCCTCGTATATAGGGTGTATCTAAATAACACCTAAAAAATTCAAGGGGTGATTCCTTTTGATATTTAAGGAAATAAAGTTTATATATAAACATGTGTCCTAACTTGCTTCGTTTTCGAGATACAGGGTATTAATATTTCCATGAAAAATCGTTTTTTATTCATTACTCAGTGGTCTTTCCACCAATTTCAACAAAACTTTGTGGTTTTGCTTATAGTGATATGAGGCTTCTTCTGGTGCAATTAGATTCGAAATAATATTTCCAGTAGCGTCACAGTGGGTAAATTAATCGATATTTATGGTGAATGTCATTGTACGCCACTGGTTTTTCTGAGTTTCATATTCTCGTTAGATTGAACTATTGAAATAACAACTTTTTTATTCCTTGTGTAATTTTTATATCTTGCTTAATTTTTGAGGAAACGATAAAAATTTGATTTGTTTCGAAATTTTAATGAAGGCGTGTTTTCAAGGCTTTCATTGAGATCAATAACCCCAATTAGAATCATTTTGAAATTTTGGGACATTGTCAGTCTTCAACCATACTGAATTTTGGCACCATGAAAGCTTATACAGGGGGGTTATAAATAAAAACAATTAATACTTACAACTTCAACATCCTGTATCTCAAAAACGGGGCAAGTTAGAACTTTATTTGCTAGAATATCACAAGGAATCGCCTCTTGAATTTTCCGGTGTTATTTAGATACACCCTACCCTGTATATCATTTCTTCATGTCATGTTTTGTATTCATGGAACACTATACAGGATGGCATTGACATAAGTGCAAATATTTCAAATCCTGAGGAAGCTTGACATGTACTATCGAATGGCACTATGGAGGTCTTTTTTACTTTTTAATACAAATGGAGTTCATGTTTCTCCGAAACTAGGATGCATGTATTGTAGAAACACCTATTGTAAAAATCGATAATCTGCGCTACATTGAAAGCATAGTATTGTGAAAAAGCAATTTTTGCAATACATGAAATTTCATGACAGTAGATGAGATACATTTTTGCGATAACTGAAGTGTTTATCTATTGTTTTTACGATACATGAGGCTTAATGTATTACAAAAATGAGTTTTTGCAACAGATTGATTTTCAGGTTTCGATCTAGTTTCGATTATCTTTTTCTTCTTCTCTACTTATCTCAAATCATAGAATGCATAATATTTTTGAGTTCTGTGCTCTTGATGTCCAGATGTCAGAAGTCAAAAACAACTGAACGAAGTACGAACCCCTATATATATATACTGAAAAAGATTTATCAAAATTCCGAGAATGTATAAAATAAAAAAGGTATTTGAATAATCTGTATTCAAACATTTGAGAGTACTGGTACTGATAGGTACGTGAGGGACATTTGCAAACATTTTACAATTACAGAGGTATTCCATGAGCTGTTTGCCCCTTGGTATGGAAATGAGTTATTTTTCTTGTAAATAGGTATATATATAGCTTCTGAATGAGTAGTATTGAGTAGTGTTCTAAGAAATTAGAAAGGTGGATTTGTTCTAGGAATGTTCTAGGGTAGGTAATTAAGGTAAATGAATGTGATGGTAAGGCAGTTTTATTTAATAACTAAAGGGCATAAGGGTGTGAAGGGAAAACTAACAGTTTTAATCTTAATAAAAATATTAGAGGAATGCTATGATGTACGACTATCTTCAACAGTTCTGAATAATCTCAATAAGTACCCGTTTCTCGTTCAACGGCTTCAACTTCAACGTAGATGAAGTCACAAGTCAGTGATTATTTTGAACTTTGGACTCTCTGCTATAGAGGTCCACAGGCCAAAAAAAAAAAGGAGAAGTCATTATCTTTTTCTTCTCGAGCTTTATTTATCTTTTTAGTTTTTACCATGTTTTTACTTACAATACAAGAGATTTAATGTTTTGCAAAAAGGGGTTATTACATTTGATGAATTTTGCTATATCAATTATTTCAATACATGAATTGTTCAAATGTTTGTTTTTACAATACATTGCTAGTTAATGTATGGTATAAATCAGTTTTTGCAATACATTGAAATCAATGTATTGCAGAAACTATATTTTTACAATACATTGCTTGTAGTGTATCTCACCATCGTTTTTACCATACATTGCAAGTTGGTGTATTGTAAAAACGTTTCATTTTTGCAACACATTGCGGCAATGTATTGTAAAAACGTTTCATTTTTGCAACACATTGTGGCAATGTATTGTAAAAATGCCAATTTTTGCAATACATTGCCGCAATGTGTAGCAAAAATAACAGTTTTTACGATACATTGCTCTTCAAGTATTGTAAAAATGTCAATTCCTGCAGCAAACTATTGCAAAAACACAATTTTTGCCATACATTCGATCCAATGTATATTAAAAAGTAAAAAGGCACTCCATATGGCACCAATAAAAATATATAGAGACCATAATAAAATTTGGGGTTAGACAATTTTTTCCACTCAAAGTTCTAAACTGTAGCAATTCTGATGTCACCTCTGTTTATATGCGGGAGGCACAATCACACTGAGTTCAATCATATAAGTTGTTGTGAAGTACTTGATTTTTTTTTCTTTTGTTTTTACTGCATATCTTGAAAAAGTATTTTTTCTGAATTCAAGAATGTATACTTTCCATACATTTCATGTGGTAGTTTAGGTAGAATCCAAGGAATAAAATTTTGAATCCATTTGGTCATGAAATCCTCTGATTCCTCGTCTAAATCAATCCAAGTTCAGCAAAAAGCAGGAAATTATCGAAAAAACTGGATTTCAGACAAAAACTTCAATTGATTTCCATTTTCATTCTTTCGACTCACCCAGAATTATTTTACTAAATAAACAGGCTGTTTGTTACTCTTTTCGAGATATCATCGCTTATAAATTCGAAGTTGGATGTGATAAAAAATCTTCTTTTAAATTCCAACGAGCCAAAATATTTTTTTATCACATTTAGATCTCATTACGTTTTCAATATCGATGAAATACATATACAACTCCTTAAGAAAAAAGAGATGCAATCAGATAAAATGTCTAAAAAAAGTTGATCTCTCGAAATTTTTTCGCAATATCAATCAATCAATCAATCAACTTTATTATTCCCAAGAAACAACATTTGTTTATAGCATATGGAAACTTAGAACGCGAATATCTGCGTAATCGTTTGAAATAACCCTATCAAACCCGGTATAGATGAATTCGTTATGACAGTCCCTAACGGATAATGGAATAAAATGCAGGGTGTCTCATTTAAAAATGAAAAGTTAGGGTCGTTTTCAGTAAATCCTGCAGTGATAGAACAAAAATTGTCGTCAATTAATGAAATTTGGTATACTAGCTGCCCACCAATTTTCAAAACCCTATCTCGAATCCACCCATTGTCTCCTGTGTCACTCATTTTTATATAGCTACCTAATTTTATCTTTATGTGATAGATGCCATTATGATGATAGAGGCTGATATAGTATTAGGAACACTAAATGGATCTACAGAAATCATTCCCATTATGGGTCACCCACCCAATAATACATCAGATCTATCTCTTGCCCAATTCATGGAACGAATATCGGATTTCAATGCGAAGTCCAACTCTACTTCGAGCAGAAAAGGTGTCAAATTAGACTTCAAAACAATCGAGGCGTTCAACAACTCTGTAGCAACGATCACTGCAAGCAACTCAACGGTAGGTTTGATTTTCAATAACTTACATATTTCCACCTCAAATATCAAGTTGTTGAGACTAGTTACTAATTGAATCATTTATCCCATTTATCACTGTATTGAAGGAATTTCGCTATTACCTAACCTAAAAAAGAAGAGGAATTCTACCTCCTTGATTCAGTATAGGTCACGTGCACGATGACCGACCCTGGAGGTAAAACATTGAAACACAACCTCACTTTTTTTTATTTGTTTGCAGAGGAATCAAAGGATTGACATAGTTTTTCACAATAATTTGGCTATTCATTGAATCAAGCATGCCTTAAGGCGTTTTCGGAAACCTACTCGGGTTGACTCGATCCCTAACCTGCACGTTCGTTTACCTAACCCGAGTAACATACCCATGTTCGGAAACTTCGGTGTTACTTACTCGATCACTAACTCGGGTTCACGTTTCGCAACCCTGCTCCAAAGCAGGGTCAGCCTTGGGGTCAGCCAGAGTTACTACCTTAGATCATACAATTACTACCACAGAACTACTCACGATTCATGTAAATCATGTATTTCTAAGGTCACTTCAGATATTATTTGATTTCATCAATTGAACAAGAAGTGAATTATGTTGAATAGCATTAGTTTGATGATGTAAATACACCAACATCATGAGCAGAAGCAATATTCATCATTTCTAGAACAATAACAACGTGTATCTTTTAAGAGTTTAGTGGTATGTTTTTAAAGACATGGAGAAATTGATCCGAAAATATTGATATCGTATAGCAAACTGAAAAAATTGCATACAGCATACAGCTGTAAGAAATCAAGAAGTTCTATTCGAAGAGGTATAAAGCTAAGTCAATAAAATAGTAACCTGATAAGTTCGTAAACTATAGTATTAGGATAAGTGATCCGACTGATCCATCACGTGACCCGTTCAGATCGAGTCAACAACCGAGAGTAAGTTTCCGAAAACGCCTTTATTCTCATTGTGCTGTCGTACAATACACAAAAAATGCAGCGAGAGACGAAGGAATACGATTTTTCAGGTAAATAGTAATCTCACATAGTTTTCATTATGAAATGTTGTCATTTTTTATCAAAATTCCTTTTGCCACTTCTGCAATATAGAATCTTATACTGCGAATGGATTGAAAATGTCTACAACACACACGATCATATTTCGTCAGCATGTCAGACCAGTCCTCCCGTTTGATTGCATGAATCCATTCTTTTAGAAATTTCACGAGTATTTCTATAAGCTCCTATTGCAGAACGAATTCCGATGAGAAATCAGAGAAATTACCAAATTTCAAAATGAAAACTATATATGAGTGACTATAGTAGGTACTCACTTTTAAATCATAATGCACCAACTGGATTCCTTCGTCTCTCGCTGCATTTTTTGTGCATTCTACAACAGCACAATGTGATGGCATGTGCAAACAAATAAGAAAAGTGAGGTTGTGTTTCAATGTTTCAACTCCATGGTCGGTCATTTGACAGTTCTTGCACGCAACCCATTTAAGCGCTGTTAAATTCATGTTTGTCTTAGCACCCACCTGAAGAATTATTTTTTTAAGGGAAAATACCCGCTTTGGATTAACGCTGATATACTGCGTGGACCAACAAACGCCACAGCAGATCCAGTAAACGCCGATCAATTTTTATCCATATCCCAACAATTCAACAACACCGTCTTATCAATTGGTTGGACTACAAGATTTACCAATATCTCGACTGGATACAGCGATACCAACATCGAGGATATGAATAATACGATAACAAAAAACAATGTTACAAATGAAATCACGTTTCCAGTTAGAGCTGCCTTGGCAGCAAATAGCTTACCACAAATGAAGAAACTGTTGAATGCGGTTAATGGCTCCACGCTGACTATTTGGTCGTCAGATGAAAATGATAAAGTTGATGTTGCGAGCTTGAAAACACTGATTGCCGATGTGGGGCATACTAAAGTTTATCTGGATGTTCCGGAACATTTGAGGAAACAGATATTGTCCAACAGTGGGAATAGGATGGCGATGTCGGCCTTCATTACGATAGTAATAGCTGGTTTAGTTTCAATGTTTTATTAAAAAGTTGAACATTTATACCATTAAGTTATAACTCAGAGGATTTCTTTCAGATAAAGTGATCAAAAAGAAGTAAGTCATTTCATTGTACTAGTATTTCACTTGACGAATTTTGTGGAAATTCCATCGTTTGTGAAGTTTTCACAAAAGTAAAAGTTGTCTACTTATACAAATTCATAAACATTTTGAATATTGTGTTGATGAAGTAGGCGTACATATGAAATATTAAAAACCATCAACAGATTTCTATACATAATCACAGACATAATACAATGAGGGCTAACATTATAAGTTTCACATTGAGAGTAAAAAAAATGTTATACTTAACAGAGTATTTCCATAACTTGAGTTTTTCTATATTTGTTCAAATAGGCCACATCATTTTTTCCGAATATTTTTGATAATACAGGCCACAGCCTTCAAGGCTATCCGGTAAAATTTTTACGATTTTTCACTTTGACATCGACCAACTGGTGACAAAATTTTAGTCCTCAATAAAGATATTATTTAACATCACCCTGTAGTCCTGAAACTGAATGCATTGTGAATCGATATGAAAGCGATTCCAAAGGTCAAAAGTAGGTAGGTATATGACTGAGAGTATGACACATATACGACCATATCTTTTATTGTTTTTTGATAATATGATGTTCATGTCATAATAAATATCGACCTGTCTCAAGATTTTTAGAATACTACCTACTTTGTATAAAAAACATATAATAATATTGAAATGATATATACCAAAGTCATTTCCTAATATTATTAGGAAACCCAAGACCTAGTACAGTATTTTGTTATTAGGATTTAGAAATTTGTATCTAGTATGCCGTATGTATTTTTGACTACAATAAATATATACATTGCTTTTCTATATTAATGATCTCTCCCCCTTTTATTTTTTGAACGGGACAACTGAAGAAATTGAAACTTGGGATAATGAAATTGATGCATGAGTACTATATTTTGGAGTAAAATCAACAGATGAAAATTTCAAGATGGCGACTGGGCGCCATCTGGGAAAAAATTAAATGGAATGGAAGGTGGGTCTTGTGACACCTCTTTTTGAAGCTCTTGACGAATACTTACAACCCTAGAATATATATAGAGTCAATATCTTCACCTTCTACAAAATGGCGAATCATTTGATGGTTGCCTGAATATACAAACAAATTAATATGGATATTTTATTCCAACAAGATGGAGCACTATCACATCACTCCAGACAAGTTAGAAACTATTTGGATAATACTATCCCAGGTCCTACGGAATGCATGGCCAGCCCGCTCGCCAGATTTGACAACTTTAGGTTTTTTATCGAGCTATTTGAAGCAAAAGGTGTAAGAAACTGAACCTGCTTCAATATTGAATATATGCGACAAATAAATATCGACGTAACTGTGTTCAGCGTGAAATATCGGATCAGTCTCCATCTTGAAATTTGTTTGTTAATTTTACTCAAAAATTTACCTAGTATTCATGCATCAATTTCATTTTGCCAAGTTTAATTTTTTTTCAGTTGACCCGTTCAAAAACTAAAAGGGGGCATTAAAGAAAAGCATTCTAGAGTGGAGTATCTTGCCGAATTCAATTTTTTAATGAGTATTCGACGATGTATAATAACACTCCGGGCAACGCTTAGGGCGCGAATTTCATAAACCTCAGTGGACCCAAAACGGCGAGTAACCAACTCTCTCATGTGCTGTGGTTGCCATGGATAGATAGAAGTCTTCATTGAAGTACGAAAAATTACATGTTCTTAGAGGTTTTCATTATATACTCTAAAAAACATGTCATGTAGAAAAAAAATTTATAAGAGTATACATTTTGTCAGGTACATTGATTACAGTGTATAGTATTGAAAATAGCATAATTCTATAACAAAATTTGTCATTACTTACAACTTACTATGGAAGAAAAGTTCGAGAGCAGGACTTGAAAAACTGATTTTCCTTTGAAATGTCAAAATTTCGACTCTGAATCGTATTTTTTTAAAAATGTTCATCTGAATCAGAAAGATCAGGAAAAACACTACAAGTGTAGCTCTTAATTTGTATGGCACACTCCGACAGGATTGGTAAAAACTATGGAACAAAATACTGATGAACGATTCCATGATTTCGTACTGGCTATATATATATTGTCACATCGTTCAAATTTATCTCTTGCATATCGGTGTATGGTGTATTAAACTGTATTATAATGAATTGGAAAGAGGTTCCATTCGATGATAATCGATATGTGAAATCTATTATATCGCGCAGCCCTAGTCCTAATATTGTGCCCTGAAGGACACAACTTGTTATTGTTTGATTAGTAAGTAATAACTACACCATCAATTGAAACATGTTATGTAGACTGCCTGAGAGCATTTGAGATATAGGTACCTACTCTTTGAACAATTTCAAAACTACTCTGATTATATGAGTATATGATATGAGCGAATTAAATTTATCTGATGAATCTTTAATGCAACCCTTGATTTTTTGCACGTTCAAAGCACAAAAACCTTGAAATATTTTCCATAATGAAAAAATATTACCCGCATTTATCGGGTGATACATGGTCGTTTTTTTTATGCGGCGATTGCGGCGTCTCTTCCACACAGTCATGTTTAAGATGGCTACAAGGACTCTAGATATACGAATGTATTGTGGTATTGTTGGTTGCATAGTAATCTGTCACGTGGCTCTCAATCATTATAAAAGACCCCCATATACAAACTTGCATGATATATGGTATACTTATGAAGACTAGAATCATCACGGTTTATGAAGGAATATTCTATGAATCCTGGATAGAATCACAGTGTAGACCATATACGTATTGATGAATGTGTAGAGGTATCTATCCTTTTCACTTATATGTGTTCGATAAAGATGAGTACACACTTCGATCACACCAGCGCACTGTAAGGGTCACGGGCACGGGGCACTACACAGTACATCTACACGCTACCGGTCGGCTAGCCAGAGCAACATCTGAAGTTCCTAAAAAACTGTCAACATTATTGTCATTATTATTTTTTATGATATATTGAATTGAAGTACCTAGTTGAACAAATATTATTGAATTTTAAATACAATATACCTACAAAACCGAAACTCAAAACTTCAAGAAAGTTCAACAAGATAAAAAGCTGCTTCTTTTTTTTATTTTAATGCTGATTATAGAATAGAAATAACAAAAAGACAACATTTATCTGTGATATTGATATAACAGAAATGGATTTGGAGGAACATAATTCTCCTTCTCCTCCACCACCAACAGAACCGGCCCCAAAACTTCCTCCACCATTGCCTGAAGTGAGTTATGTGAAGACATGAAATGCATTAATAGTTATTCTCCAATAGTGTGTTTCTAGTTATGATAGGTATTTAATATTTTCTTAAATCATTTTCAGAGGCACATCAAGTCAATGATACAACCAGCAGTATTAGAAAAAGTTCATGTTGAACTAGAGGAAGACATAGATGATGATGAAATATCCCAACAAATGACTCAATCATACAGTGAGATTTCTTTCAAATCTGGTTTCAGTCCAGAAGGTGAATTACCCCTGTCCTCAACTTTGGAATCTGTTTCAATTGTGGATGAAATCAAACAGAGGCCCATGACTCTTTCTTGCAGTCGTGTTCCCAATTCCAAACCCATGGTCCCATTAAATTTAGAGGGATCTGTTCATGTGGAAGGTAACATGACCCATTTTGTTGCAGAGGATTTGGAGCATAAAATAAGGCTTTCTAGTCCAGTTTCCAAGAAAGGTCAGTTGTTTTAGGTGAATTTGGAAATTACAAATTGTACATGCAGTGAAATAAGATACCTGTGAAGGTGATCATTAGCTCATCATTATTCATAGATAGTCATTGGTACACATTTTGTGAAAGAGCAACCTTATTCAATCTACAGGCAACTAATGATCTGAATTAAGTAGTAGATAGGTTTTTCTGATTTGGTCTAGTACTCAGTTAGTTCAAAATTTCTAGATGCATCAAGTGTATCCAGTAATTCCAGAACCTGTACTCCAAATTCTCTCTACAGGCAATTATTAGTGCCTCAAGTGGGCCAGCTGGATAGTGCTTTGATAAATGATTTGGAATGTGAGGCACATCATATGGCTACCTCTGTTGATAGCCTTATAGAAAACCTATCTGGAATATTACATTCTGTAAGTATTCAGTTCTTCAATTTTTTAGAATTGAATACATCATCAAATGAAGGCGATTTTATGAGTTAAAACAGTATTTTGAAATTTACATTTACTTTTTTGTGATTGAATAGACAATTTCTCTGAAGTAGTGATTGTAATAATTAGCAATATTAATGTGTAGAACATCTCCTCCTATTGAATTTTTCTAATAAATACAGGGTCTTCCTGAAATTGGAGTGATAAATGAAATGGGTAATTAAAGATAAAAAAAAACAAGAGGAAATAAAAGTAAGAAGTAAATGTTTGTTGAAAAGAAATAAGTATTCAGGAAGATATTGTGAGTTGAATTCCATAGTTTGCCTGGACTTTTTGTAAATCATTGAACACAGGTCAACAGCCAAACCCTAACTTTCAATGAAGCCAATAACACTGGAAGTATCAATGGCAATGTTTACAGACATTTAATAATAGATAGATAGAAAAGTAGTAGGTCTGGTGAAAGCATACATTTGAAAAAATAATCAGAATAATGTATTTTTTGGATTTTTTGTGTCATTATGTCTCCTACAACATCTCCAATTTTAGACACTCAGTATAAAGCAAATTTGATTAAATAAGATTTTCATTGATAGAAATGATAGAATAGAATAAAGGGGTTATTGTTTTCCTCCCTTCATTCTTTCTGGTACTGATCATGTTTTGATTTCATCTCCATATGATTAGGAGTTATAGAATTCTCAAATTTTTAGATATCCTCAATAACAGCAGACAATGTAGATGTTTATGAAAAAGCTGTAGCAAAAATGTCAGACTCTATGGATTCAAATATCAAGGTAAATCTGGTTTTTTATGTTTCAGTTATTGTCCATTTGGATTTTGTATATATATCTCATTTTTGATGTTTTTGTTCATGGCATCAATATATTTATTTCCAGAGTATTTACACTATGATGGCCAAGGCAGAAGAGGTCACCCAATCAATGAAAGTTATGGAAAGCCATTCTGCTAGAATGTATCCTTTTAAATTGACCTTCCGATTTTTTCTGTATTATTTCAACCACCATTGCTCTTGGGACACCCTGTTTAAATATAGTTAACAAAATACCATGTGTTTTGCAGAATTCTTCAAAAACATACTCATTTTGTTACTTGTTATAAAAGCACTTAGGGTACTTCTATTCTTGACTCCCAAATATTTTAATCTCATTCCTTAACAACACAACAGAAAAGAAATCAAGAGGCTTGTTGACCTATTTGATACCTTTGTCTGAGCTTGAAATATGAGATCAGGGTGTTCACGTATCTATTTAGCAGCTTTAAATGATTTCAAGTCCTTGGGAAGTAGCAGAGTATTGAATGAAATTGAAAATTGTGATGAAGTGCTGAAAGCTGAAAAGAGAGGTAATGTAACTGATATATTTCTATTGTTTTTTGCCATGTTATAATAAATGTACCAAACAGCTGAAATATTGAATCTTCTTATAATTATTATCCTTGTTATTAATATTTAATTTATTTGATTTATTTGATTATTTTTACCTTTTTGTTCAATGTGGGTACCTGACCGGGAAGGAAAAAAAAGAGAAGTAATTATTTGTAATTTTATTAGATTTTTTGAACTATATTCACTCATAACCAGAAAAAAGAGAAGCCACAATGTAGTCTCACAAATAACATGAAAACATCTAATCAACATTGTTAAAATAAAAATTTCTGTTACCACATCTAATGTAGAGGAATATTATTAATGATAGTATATTATTAGTTTATAATTCTCTACTTAAACTAAGTATATACATACACATTTTCCACAAGTGTGATAATATTCTTGAGTTGGCAATGTGTATTCGGTTCAATATAATTTTGGAACAAATACATATTACACAGCAGTTTTCGTATATAGTACAGTTTATGCAGTAGAGTAATTCAGGGTCACTTTCATTTCTCAAAAAAAAAATGTTGACCTTATTATCATTGAATATCCTTGATGATATTTGAAAAAATATTAGTTATTTGCCTCCAGAAATAATCAGGGGTCTGGGTTTGATAACAATTAATCAAGATATACCTTGTTTTTCATGAAACATTTTTTTATTTTCATACCTTGAAATAAATATTGAAGCAGAAAAATTGAGTAGCACAATAATTATTGGTACTTATTACTTATATTTGGAAACATTTGTACATAAAATCATCAATATCTAATTTTTTTTATATTGCATAGTACACAAGTATTTCGGTGATCAACAGCAATTTATTATTAAATGATTTATCACTCATTTTAATTATTTTTGTAATGAAAATTATACAAGGAAGTACATATACCTATTTTAGCATTTTATAAATTTCATTAAGTTTTATTTTTCTTTCAATTCATTTTGGTGTTGAAGTAGCTACTTTAAAATTACCATCATTAATTTTATTTTGTGGCAAAGGTAAGGTAGGTGTTATATTTTATATATAAATGGGAAAGAATTTACAGTTTAATTGCTGAGTATACTATATGTTTCATTACTAATTGTAAATATTTAAACCTGAGCTCACAATATGAAGATTTTATCCAAATCACCTAGATAAAATGTGAGTTACAGGGTGTTTTATAAAAAAAAATTGAAGATTATGTCTGCCTAGTATTCTGAAAATAATTGACGTATCATTGTCATATTTGGCACACCCTACTTAATTATGCAAAATAAACGTTCATTGGTACAACGGGCATACGGCAGGGGCAAGTGACAGGTTGATCCTTCCCAAATTCTAAGCGGAATTGCCATTTCATCACAATTTTTCGAGTTTCCAATACTTATCAAGTCATTTTTTCGAGATATTTCAACTACACTATTGTTTTAAGTGATGTGTATTAATAATTTCGATATCTTGAATCATTGGATTGCACTCATTATGCAAATGAAACTTCCAAATAATCCATATTCCCAAAAAAACACATAGTAACAATAATTTTTGAATTTTTGAATATAATGAATAATTAAACACCCTGTAACAGACAGGAGACACATTTTATCTAGGTGATTTGGGTTAAATATTCGTTCGGTTATTTGGAGCTCTGGATTTCATAGCTGAAATATTTCGAATTAGTAATGAAACACCCTGTATATTTGAACGTGGAAATATCCCTACAAAAGATTCCACATCATGTTCATTCCACAATTGTACAGGGTGATTCACCATGAATGTCCCCCGCTCTAGCTCACATATTTTTGAACCCATTTGAACAATCATCTAAAATACAGGGTGCTCAGAACAAACGATCTACAGAGTGATTTTTTCAAATGGAACACACTGTATTTCATTGTATTTGTAGATTCTCCCTGAAGAGCTGATTTCATCAATATATTACACTTGGGGTCTAGCGGGAATGATTACAGAGATATAGGGTGTTGAAAATCGAGATTTTTCAACTTTAGGATTTTTTTGTGTCGAAACTATTCATTATTGGTCAAAACGGCTTGAATGTCTCTATCTCAACTTTTGATTTACTATCAACTGACATTTAATTGGAACATATACAGCTTGGTTCAACATTCAGAATTCTGATCACCCTGTATCTGTTCTAATTATTAAATGCCAGTAGATAGTAAATCAAAAGTTTAGATACGGACATAAGAGCCGTTTTGACCGATAATGAATAGTTTCGTCACAAAAAAATCCTAAAGTTGAAAAATCTCGATTTTGAACACCCTATATCTCTGTTATCATTTTCGCTAGACCCCAAGTGTGATGCATTGATGAAATCAACTCTTCAGGGAGAATCTGAGAATACAATGAAAAATAGGTTGTTCCATTTAAAAAAAATCGACTCTTCAGGGAGAATCTGAGAATAAGTATTACTATAAGAGTATTACTAAAATATACCTATTTAATTTTAGTTTTGCTTTAAATAATTTTATATTCATATTTTAATCCTCTTGTTTTGTCATACATAATGTACTTACTTTTTATATATATTATGTTGCATGTTATATATTTTTATCATGTAAAATTTTATGTGAATTTATAATAATATAATTGTTTGATATACCACGTACAAAATGCCTCTGCAACTTCTGTGGGCATTTTCATTGTTTATTTATTGTTATCATTGTTGAACCATACAATGAAAAATAGGGTGTTCTATTTTAAAAAAATCGAATAGGACCCTGTAGATCGTTTGTTCCGAGCACCTTGTATTTTCTGATGTAGCGGAAAAAAACTCTATCAAAAATCATTTCAGATGATATTTGAAATTTTGCGATCGGTTCAAAAATAACTGAGCTTGAGGGGGGGACATTTATGGTGAATCACCCTGTACAACATCCTTCTTGGGGTTTGCTTTGGCAAAATCTAAACGACTAATGTCAGCAAACTATTTTTTGAGAAATAAACGAGACTCCCAATGGTAAGTACATTCAAAAAAATAGTTTCGAATTCGTGAAAAAGACGTTGACGTGACCCTCTCAGCCTGCCTGTCCAGTAGACCCGGGTGCTGCCGCCCCTGGCCCGCCTGCGGGCACGCCTGCTTGCTGGGGTATCACGTTGGCGGCGGGCAAAGCCTGGTTCGTTGTCGGCGTGGCGCTGCTCTCTGGCATGAATTTCACTAAATTTTCAGAAAATATCGGTTAAATTCACAGAGTAACTACGGTTTTGAGAAGGGATCCGCACCTCAGAGTAACTATGTTGTTGAAAAGTATGGTTTGTTTTGGATATTTATTCTGCGGAAATGACATCACATTCTAAAGGGACTCTTTAGGACTGCTGCCAAATCGATAATTGGAGAGGATTTTTCGGGGGTAAGTACACAAAAGATAATGTTTTTTTTTCTACAAACGCTTAACAAAGTAGCCTTTGATGCTTTCAAATTCCAACACAAAGTTGACGTTTTCCAGAAATGTCATTCTTTAACAGCATTTGCGCTCATGAGCGGAAATATTAAAAAAACGCTCGCTATTCTTGAAAACCCCCAATTCTTTCATGATGGAAAATAGTGACAGTGAACTATCAAACACACCTCCTGATATTCGCGAGAATCAATGTTACCAGGTAGCGCTCGGTTTTCATCGTTCCATGTCAAAGCCACGTCAAAACTGGGGGAAAACAAACTCAATCCCATTAGTGCCATTAGCTTGTGTACTGTGCACTGATAAGAGTGATAAGTTTCTAAATTTCTTGACATTAGTTGTCAATATTCGATTGAAAACGCTAATAATGCCTGTTGTAGATGTTCTTTCGGCAGATATTTTGCTCTATTTAGATGGAAAAAGCCGACCAGTAGTGGAAGGAGAAGCAGTTCTCCGTGCTGATCATGTGATTTTGTGTGAGGCAGAAGGCAGAAGACTTTAACAAAAGACACATTTTTTTCTTTGTCTACAAAACTTCGGCGATGAAATCTTCCCCACATGAAGTAAAATTGAAGTTTTGGTCCAGAGGAACAATGGAATTGTATTTGTTCATGCAAAGCAGGACAATCTGGGTATTGTAAACATGTTGTAGCTGTTCTTTTATATGTCAATAGATTTGCTCGTCATAATTAGTTTGAATTGTTTGAACTCCAATTCTTCACCCGTTCACTGTTCACTAAACTAATAAAAAATGTAATAATGTAAAAAAGTTAACCAACTCAACCATCATCACTACCAACAGTGCCAACACATTATGTCATTGACAAGTTTGACTACAGCTACAGCAAGCTGAATGCAATGTAGTCTATGCATTTTATCCATAGACAACAGTTTGTTTTCCCCCAGTTTGAAGTTCGTATTATGTAACCTAGATGTCGCCCACTTCGTGAATCTCGTGAATAGCAGAAAGTGCAGTAGTGCGGGAAAACATTTATATAATGTTCTCGCAAAATATGAGTGGTGGGTGACACAATATGAAAATTTTTGTTTTTCTTGTTGCAGTATTTAGTAAGTTTGTACAAAATCATCCATCAAATTGCACTATTTACTGTGAATATGAAAATTTCAATCAAAAAACAAATTAGTTAGTGTAATTCTCAGAGTGACAGACAGAGCGTTACTGTCATTTTCGATTCAGTGGAATTGCGATGAAAAACTTCCAACTAAAGATGCGATACAGATGAGTTATTGCCAACGAAGTCTCAAGAAAGGTAAGAGAAGCACTACAAGGGATTTATTGAATGGTGCAATAGTCAAAAAGTGAAAACACCAAATGAAGAAGAAGTATTTTTGGTCATTTCCTAGAAATGTCTGAAACCTAGAGGTCAAACACCATGGGCATGCTGGCTTCCGCAATAAGCTCACCTACATAATGCTACAAATGGTACACACAATAGATATACCACTAATTATTAGAAGATGGAGAATATATCACTATTGTTAGTTGTTCCTATTTGCCGGAATAATTGATTGAACAAATCAATCAATTTCCTACGCTCGTAGAAAAAATATCGTTCCTAACTCGCCTCGCGTCGTTCGGGTCAACGGCATTCGCGTGCGGGAAAGTAATGAAAGTATCACTTTCCGCACTTGTTAGGAAAATTACTATTATTGATTAATACACGCCTATTCCATGGTCCAATAATATTTCTTCAATTTACTAAAACCAACCAATCACAAGGCATTTGTAGTGATGAAGAAGCTACCTAGCTTTCCCAATAACCGTTAGCCTTGCTTTTAATCAACACGCTTCTATATATCCATTTGACTTGTTCTACACCCGTTTGGGTATTATGTATATTGTACACATGAACGAATAAAGGATATCTATCTATCTCATACTTTGACAACAACTGTCACTGTCACTAACGTCAGAAAATTTTCGAGTTTTCTTAACACATCGTCGTTTCTTTTCCAAACCAAATTATCTATACTGTCGTAGGTGTTTATATTGATCTTCCTAAAATACATTTGAGAAATGTTTTTATTGATAAAAACATTTCAAATTGTATTTTTTTTGTTAGAGTTATCCCCACCATTCGCAATTTCATTCATTTACACGTGTTTGGCGTTGAAGATTGTTGACATATACATTTTAATGATTTATGAATGAATCGCGAATGGACAGTGATCATTACGCTGAAAGAGCTCATAGTCTTATAACAAGTAACTTAACATTTCCAATTCATAGGTATATCGTAATGTGGCTTAGTGCTATGCTGGTTTAGGCCTATTAAAGGCGAATGCTTTCATTGATGAACAGCGTAATTGAAATATTGAAAATATTGAATAGCTTCACTACGATCTTACACAGTGAAGTATAATTTTGTTACAATAAATAAAATCAGTTTATTGTCGCATATTATACACTTATTCATTAAAATCGTGAATTATTATTTAAAGTAATCCATGAAAAAAATCGCGAGAAGGCGCTGACGAGCGCAGCGAGCAAAAAAGCCAGCCGCAGCCCACAGGTGAAATTTTCAAAAATAACACGGTTCTGGTTTTGTGCAAAGTTTCGTTGTTTGCAAGGCCTATGAGCTTGAATCAGGTCCTGTGAGCTTACAATTACTGTAAAATCGTGAGTTATATGAGCTTACAGGTCCTGCGAGCTTGCAGATCCTCTACATGTCATCGAATTCAACTGAAATTCAAAAATCGGCGTCCTTGATGAACAAACTGTACATTATATTTTGATGGGTAGGTATACCTAAATAGTGGGGTAACTGAAACTGCACTGTGTGGTATCTGTCTGTCTTTCAATGTTTTCAATATTATTCGTGAGTGATGAATGAGATGATGTTGATGAGGCAGGCAAAAATATAAAATGTATTAGTCACGTGTAATCGTTGGTATAAAGTATGCTGTAAATGGTAACTGCATGCATTGAATAAAAATGTAAGAACGTACCAAATACCTTCATTATTCCGCTGTAGTTTCAGAAAAGCAGATACCCTGAATAATTTCATAATAATTATGAACGAATATAGTAGTGCCACATATTTTATTAATGAATCTTTGAGAATTTACATAGTGAATCGAAAATAACAACAAATGATCTAGACAGATACTATCAATTTATCAATACGTTTTCATTATAAAGGGTGTCCCTAAAAGGTCTTTACAAAAACATACCACATAATTCCTCAGACTAAATGGGGAAGTTTGCTATATTGAGGATTGAGCAGGGTGGTTCATAATTGAGATTTTGTACCACCCTGTATCTATTTTAATTAAATATCAATTGTTAGTACGTGAAAAGTTAAGAGAGGGACATGAAATCCGTTTTGACCAATTATGAATAGTTTCGACACAAAAAATTCTTATAGTTGAAATATCTCGATTTTTCACACCCTATATCTTTGTTATCATTCCCGTTAGACCCCAAGTGGGATAGATCAGAATAAGCTCTTCAGGGAGAATCTGAAAATGGATTGATATACAGGGTGTTCCATTGAAAAAATCAACGTTGCGGCAATTTCGCAATGCTGAGAATATTTCAGGTCGATTCAGGCACCAACTTCTCAGAATAATCCTGAGTTGCGTTCTCCAGAAACGTCTAATGTGCCATCCAACGTGAATCACCCTGTATACTATGAATGTTATTCAGATATGATCATAGAATATTCTGTTCGAATATTCTAGGCATGTTCTCCAGGTATGTGCATAGCATATTCATTATTTAGATTGATTGTTCAAAATCCTTTTCGTTGATCTTGAGAAAACTTGTCACGCTCATCTGCGGTAGCAATGGGAATTAGTGAATTCAAATTTCCCGCTATTCTCTCCAATTACTTTCTTTCTAGTTACTTTATTCCTACCCTACCCGAGTTCATAACTCAGAATTTTGAAGTTTCAATTTTTCCTTCCAGGGCTTATCCCAGACAGCACTGGATATTCCTAGAATATTCTCTAAATATGCTGAAAAGGAGGAGTATATTCCGAATATTCATCGATTATTCCTAGAATATATACATGCCTCTGGAACATCTAAAAGGAATATTCCAAAGTGAATAGTCTCTGTTGTATATTCATGAAATATTCCCAACCGAATGTTCAATATTCCAAATGGGATATGATAGGGAGATTCATGGAATATCTGGTGCTGTCTGGGATATTTTCCTCCTATATCGATATTGTATTTATAATTCCCTTGTATAAGCTTTCTTGGTGCCAAAATTCAGTATGGATGGACTGACTGATAAAGCCCCAAAATTTTGAAATGATTCTAATTGGCGTTATTGAGTAATCTCAATGGATGTCTTGAAAACACCTACATTAAAATTTGAAGTCAAATCGAACTTTTATTGTTTCCTCAAAAACTAAGCTAGATACAAAAACCACACAGAGGATAAAATAGTAGATTGTTTTATTAGGATCAAAAGTGACACTAAACGCTCCGCCTCGCAAATGCAAAATTCGCGAGTCGAACAAAGTCACTTTTGATCCGAATGAAACATGCTATTTTTTCTGCAACCGAAACAATTAACTCAAATAAACATGTGAAGTAACCACCAATAATACCGTGCCATATGTATGCAATGCAACAAATATTGACAAATAATCCATGTGGTGAGAATATTCTACCTGCATTAACAGCAGGTTATGTTTTCTAGGATGTTCGAATTGTAGTTTCAATATAAATACAACCACAGAGTGACATATTTGTGTATGGACCAGGCGGTGCTCTAATGGCAAA